ACCTTGGTGGCACACCCACTACTTTTTGGTACATAATTAACGAATAATACTTACAGGAATGATACACATACTGTTGAAAATTAAGGCTACCCCGTTTAAGTTCTCCTCCTAGCCTTTTTCCTCAGTTTTATAATAGACCTATTCCTTAGCGTTCCATGGATTCACCGTGCGGGTGCCGAATCCATCGCGTCATAGATGGGGGCAACATATGCGACTTCGACAGCAACTGGGAATTGCAACCCAGGGTTTAGGAAGTACTCCTTTTGACGCGTCAGCGCTCACCTTCAATGTCTGCTGTATTACCCCTCTACCTAACCATATTTGATACGAGCCTAGCAATGCCGCTTTGGATATTCGTTCAAGAAAAGAGCTTACTGAAGCTCTTGCCAATCCAAGGTCTTTAAGTGGGTTCTAGAGGGATTTAGCTGGTATACTCCTCGCATCCACTTTCACGGCATACAACGCAATGGCATAACCATTTTTAGTTATTTTCTTGGTTAAGTCAAAGTACTTGTTTCTTTTTAAAGCGTAGTCTTTAGGGATGTTCGTTTCCCACGGCACCGTAAGTTCTACTAGTACTACACGCTAAATTGAAATTGCATAACGAAATATGTCTGGTCTGGACGCCGAGGCACAGATATCCTCCGGTATTCTGCAATGATTTTCATACGTGTCCACTAATAATGTCCCGTCACTGGCTTTATTTATAATTGAGTACGGCTTTTGTGAAGTCTTATTTGTTGAACCTTCATTTACAAACGCGATGTTTGTTGTTATACCTTTTTTCGCTCTGGCCAGTGATAAACTTATAGCTTCGCGTATGATTTGTAATACTTTATCATGGCGACGTAGATAATGACCCCGGTTTAATAGCGCCTTACGATCTTTCAGTAAGTGCCTGACTGCACCTATTTCCGCACAGCACTGCTGCCACTATTTTTAAGAAATTGGCGAAGAAGTTTTGAATTTATTTTAAAAAGGTTTTTATGTCCGAAAGAATTCTGAACTAAAGTACTTTTTATTTGATAAGATATTCTATTTAATTTTTCATACACTGTGTCTCATTTCTGTTGAAGTATAAACATATAATATATAATATATCATTTATTGTCGTTTATTATTAATAATAATGGTGCTCCATGGTAAAAAGAAGAAATATTATTAGTGACAGGTATGTTTTCAATTAGGTACATTTTACTAACGCAACAGTTGAAAGATTTTCTTGAAAATTGAAGTAATTAGAACATATTTTGTGACTTCTTTTGAAAATATGGTAGGCTTATATTATTATTAAGTTATTAATTCCTGTGCATATTATATGTATCTATGAAATATCAGTAATAGACCAGCTGTAATAATAGATTGCTCTAAGTATTTATCTCATCATCATCATCAGCCTATCGCCGTCCACTGCTGAGCGAAGGCCTTCTTAATGTCTGTATTTATCTGAATGCAGTAAATAAAATCGAAAAATATACCTAAAATGGCTAAAAGTTCTTAAAGTAGAACATGTTCTTCAGCATTCTTTTTATACACAGTTATTGTATAAAAGAATGCGAAAGAGATGTGTGTGATTTGATAGATTCTTGTTGCAATAAACGTGCAATAATGTAGTTGATCAACAGTCAAGGAGAATAATAGGATATATACATTATGTAGTAAATAGGTAAGTAATAGCCAGAATTAATAATTGATCGGTTTATTGAAGTCCATACATATTATGTGTATCGTTAGTCCTTCACCATTGTACTAAGGGCGCGTTCGCGTACGCGTAGGGTGCGGCGATGCGTGTTGACAGCAAAGGTGTGGAGTAAGGGATTACATTAGAAACCAACCGCGTAGGTGCTACAGCAATACCCTGGTACGCGAGTGGCGCAATTATCGGAGCAGAGCGTTTCTTTAGCAAGTGCAGACCGGAGCCCTCGATCGCCTTGGCAGTGAAGTGTGCAGAGCGGTCCAAATTCACGTCCAAAGTGTCCAGTGGCCTGCCGTCAGCGGCAAGGATGTTAGCCGGTTGACCGGGTGCGAGGGACAGCGGCCCTCTGTAATTACTTGGTGTTAATAACGGTGCTGTGTACGCTATAGGCGCCGTATACGCAAGTGGAGCCGTGTACCCCAGAGGGCCAAGCAGACCCCCGGCCGCCGCAGTCGCCAGCAAGCAAGATAACACCACCAGTTTCATCATTTTGAGTGCGAATGTGTTCTGTGTTATATTAGAGAGTTGGATACACTGATGCATACGCACAAACATTCACCGTTTATATACTAGTGTGATAATAGAAAGATAATGAAGTGTGATGGGCGTCACCGGAATGCATCATTGGCCTTGAAAGAACAACTGGTGTTCGGGAAATTGAAATATGTAGGTAATATGAACAAAGACCTTCTCAAATATTAATCAAATAAAAAAAAAATTAGCGCAAGTGTGCTAAACTTTTTTTCATTATCAAAACAGTATTTAAATATGTTAATAAACTAAAAATTAGAGTAAGTATATAAGTATTTTTGAAAATCAACGTGTTTTTGCATTTCAAGCGTTGCTGTACCGTTCATCCGATCGTGAAACTTTGTATGTATATTGTCAAGGTTACAGTAAAAGGACAAAGAAGAAAGACCTTGTCATTCAGAAAATACACCTACATACTAAAAAAACACTGTTCTTAAAGGACAGAAAAATATTTTTTAAGTAGACAAAGGCTGTAGTCACAGCTATATGTGTGTATCAACTGATGGTTGCTTACCACAAACTGTGTACAATAATAAATTACAGTAATGCTAGAGATCATATGTCAGTATTTATGCATAAAGGAACCATGCAGCAAAACCCCCCCTTCTGAGATATCACAGGATTTACAAACACATTGACATTAATAATAAGCTACTTATTTGAGTATGTGTATATTAATTTGCTCTGAACCCTCTGAAACTTTCCTTATAATTAAAAAAATGTGCATGTGGTTCCTTTAAATATTTACTAATTGATAGGCTTTTTTCATATAGAAAAAGGAACCACAGCCCAGGGATTAATTAATATAATTGAAACTATGTATTTATAGTATCGTATAAAGCTTTAATTTACAAAAATATTAAATAATCCACAATATATAGAGAGTGTTTATTCAACGTTACCATCAAATTTGATATCGAAATCCACCGTGTCTGGTCCATTTATGTCGTCTTCTATTGCATCATCCCAAATGCGACCATTATATAAAATCAGTGCATCTTGGGGAATGAGATGTAATATGGACTGAATATCGGTTAGTTTCGTTGGTGATACTAGCTTCCCTGACGGCCACAGGGGAACTGAATGTCCCGTCAGATAGCTCGTCTGTTTCAAAATAAATTGAGTTTGGCGCCTCTCTGGTCAGATATATTTTACAATTAATACATTCTTTATTAATACCACGTTTTTTATTGATGATAATTTTTTCAACGTTAGAAGTTCCTAGAAAACCAGATTTTGTCATAACCTTAACTGTAAGCGGCTTCTTCTTCTTGTAATCTTTCAATCAATCTTTTTTGCTGTCTCGACACTGATATATGAGATAATTTACTGATCCACAACAGTACTGTTAAATGCTAGAACTAACCTGAATGTATTTTAACAAATTAGTACTTAAACCAACGACAGTTTAAAAAAATGTCAATATCGATAGAACCACGTCGATAATTCCGACAGTTCAATATTTTATAAAATACGAGTAAGTAAATGTATCGCACCAATTTTATCTTTGGAATGTTTTCCCAAGCCACACTCATCTTGTAGCGGCGGGGGCAGCCCCCGCGCGCTCCGCACCCGCTACCGATCAAGCCACGCAATTATAATTATTATTTACTTAGGCACCTATTACAGATTTATTATTAGAAGATAATGGTTCACGGTTTATGCATAAGGTTTATGTTTATTAAATTAAATGTTTTTATATTAATTAAATTAAATGTTTTTAATTTTTTTTATAAATGTAAATGTTTTTGAAAGGTAAATTGCGGTTTACTATTTATGACGTATTAAAAAAAATAACTAATACTAGATCTCGTTCAAACCAATTTTCGGTGGAAGTTTGCATGGTAATGTACATCATGTATTTTTTTTAGTTTTATCATTCTCTTATTTTAGAAGTTACAGGGGGAGGAGGACATGCATTTTACCACTTTGTGTCTCTCGCGCAAACTATTCAGTTTATAAAAAAATGATATTAGAAACTTCAATATCCTTTTGAAGACCTATCCATAGATACCCCCACATGTAAGGGTTTGATAAAAAAAATTGAGTTTCAGTTCTACGTATGGGGAACCCCCAAAATTTATTGTTTTTACATACGGACGGACAGACAGACAGACATGACGAATCTATAAGGGTTCCGTTTTTTGCCATTTGGCTACGGAACCCTAAAAATGGACTTAATGGACAGAGATATGGCAAAGTGTAATACCAAAAAAAATCTTATTTTATTTAAAGAACGGAACCCTAAACGGTAGGCAGCTCCTGTAAGTTTTTATTTTTGTACTATGACGGGAGTATGCCCTTAGTAAGTGAAATATTCATTTTTTTTATCCTGGGTAAAATTTACCGATATATCCATACTTAATCTATCTATAATATGTATCTATTCAAAAAATATATAAGTATGTTTATCAGCAGTCTGGTTACCATAATACAGGTTCTGCCTAGTTTGGGATCAGACGGCCGTGTGTGAGATGTGTGAGAAATATTATTATTATTCTCTTTATTTACTTTATATTATTATTATACTATAAATGTAAAAGTGAGTTTGTTTGTTTGTTATGCTTTCACGCCTGAACCACTAAACCAATTTTAAAAATTATTTCACAAATGGAAAGCTGCATTATCAGCGAGTAACATACGCAACTTTTCACCGCGATAACAGACCGGGCGGAGACACGTCCAAAAGCTAGTGTTTATATAAACTAAGAAGGCGTAATAAAACCACAATAAATTCATTAATGTTGTTATATTTACAAAGTCATTTAGTTATTTACCAATGGACGAAGGGTGCGTTGGCGTAGGTGTAAGATGTAGTGGCGATAGGGGCAGAGATCAGGGGTGTAGAGTAAGTGAGCGGGGCATGCGCAATCAGAGGGGCTGGACCCACGGCGACTCTCTGAAGAGCTAGTGGTGCAATAACTGGGGCTGAGCGTTTTTTCAGCAGGTGGAAGCCGGTACCAGACAGAGCTTTAGCAGTGTAATGAGCAGATTTGTCCAAGTTCACATCCAGAGTGTCCAGCGGTCTTCCGTCAGCGCCAAGGATGTTGGCTGGTTGTCCAGGTGCGAGAGACAGCGGCCCTCTGTAGTTGTACGGTGCCAGTGGGGCCGCTGCGTAAGCAAAAGGTGCTGAGTACGCCAAAGGCAAAGGTGCGAAGAGGCTGCCAGCCGCCGCCATCGCCAACATGCAGGACAACACCACCAGCTTCATCATCTTGAGTGTGAATGTGGTCTGTGTTGTTAAGATCACTGATGCATATGGAACTGAAGCGATCCGTTTATATACTCGTACTAGTGTTACTCTACTACTAGTTATAAATTTAACTTGATGGGCGTAACCGGAATGAATCGTCGACCCTGAACAGGACAACTTTTCTTTGAGAAAATAAAGATCATAACGCATATAGGCTCTTTTGATGCCGAGTGAATCATCTTGTAATGTAGAAAAAATGGTTTTGCGACGTCAGCAGTCATTTTGTTTATTTCTTCCATGAAAATTTGAAAGACTTCTTTAGACCTATTCATAGAATTACTAGATGAAAATATCACTATTGCAATTGCAAACTTTTTCACGAATGTAATGACAATGCAAATATTAAATTTGACCAATATCGCAAATCAAGAAAGTATCATGTAAAAAGAAAGTATGTAAATAACTTTAGATTTTTTGCATGTTTGTTATAGCTACTTATCAACCTGTTTTATTATAAGGTTTGTATTCTGAGCAATGTTAAAGGCCAGTAAAAGTGCTTGGTTTAAGAAAGAAACGCTTTCTACTACCTACAATAAACTTGTCATTTTCGTAGGTTTGTATGTACTACAGCAATAGGTACCTACATCTTAATAGTACATAATAGATGCGTATAATTATTTGTTTATTTGACTAGCTTGTCTATTATAAACTCGATTAGATTATCCAATTTAATATCTAAAGTTAGTTAAACACTTTCGCTATTTAATTTATTACAGGAAATGTCATTGCATAGGTACGTGTATTGTAATATCATAGTTGCAGACTTGGACAAAAGCTGAAATATGATTTAATGAAACAAATTCCTTAATAGAAACGAGATTATTTAACCTTAATTTAGTGTTAAATAAATTTTATTTAATATATCTCGTATTTAAAAATGAAAATTTACTTTTGAGAACATCTTTAATCTAAATATCTGAAAAGTAATTTATTTATGAAACAAAAATGGCTAAAACGGAACCCTTATACATAGTCTGTCCACACTATATATCACAGACTTTGCTAGACAGTGTCAGAAGCTTATAATATCGCATGAACATATATACTAATTAGAGATACCACGAATATTGGGCAACTATTAGGTATTCGTCCAGTTCTTTCCACTATTCGGTATTCATCTGAATATTCCAGACTATTTGGCCGAACACCGAATAGTAAATCAAGAAAAAAAGAATGCATTATAATACTCACGAAGAGTTTTATATGACCAAGCACTTATTATATTAATACTTAAAACTTTTTGTCAGCATTTGTTGATAGGAAACGATCGAGTTTTTTATTAAAAACTTTATCTGCTTCGGTAAATAGCCGCTTACTGTATGTACTGCTTCCGGGAGATGAAAAATAATATAATACATAGCAAATTCCGTTAGGTTAGGATATTGTTTCGCGTTTGCTGATCATTTTGCTGATTCAGGTTTAAACCCGCGAAAACTACAACTACGTGTTGCCGAATATTCGGCGCTTCGGTCAAGACACTTGTCGAATATTCGTTATTCGGCCCAATCACTATTCGCGGCATCTCGAATGCTAAGCACGCAAACAAAGTGTTAAAATAAAACCTTAAAAAAAAGTAGACTTTATTAGTAACTTGCTATCGCATAACAGGCCATGCATATTTGACTATTCGCCTTTTTTGTCTGTGCGTAAATCCCTACGGATACTACAACGACAATACTGCAGTTTCCAAATTAATACGTTATGCTGGCTATCGTTCTTTATTATGTGACACTCAAATACATAATTTTTCAAACTTTACTTGTGATGCAGGATTTTAAAACTCCTTTTTCAGTTACCATCGTTCTATGTGGGATCGATTTTAGACGTCATGAGCCGCCGAGTCCGTCCGAACACTCAGTAAAACACCAAAACTCCCTCGTATTAGTTCGCATTGTTGTGACAGGTAACTACGGAACCCTATATTAGGCGTGGCTCGCATTTGACGAATTTTTTATTTATTTATTGGTATAAAAAGGAAAACATTTAAATAAAAATAAATAATTTAAATAGTGAATTTCTAAAGTGACTAAGAGTATCGTGGCTTCATATTTTGTAAATAAGTATAATATTTAAATTACACAATCATAAGACACATGACAACAACATGACAACTGCAGATAAATCGCAACTAGCATATTAGGACTTCATTAATAATAATAATAAAATTCATTTATCTTCTTTAAGTATATTTGCGTTATAAAACGGCTATTCTGTTAGCATGACATGACGTATACAAGGTCGTCACCTTAGGCTACGTATGGTACGTAGCCTAATCGGACGGGCTTGTCATTCGTCCTTGCTTATGAAAATGAAATGAAATGAAATGCCATCTATCAGTTATGTTCATTATTATATGGAAAGCAAGTCTGGGGATAATTACTATAGAATCGTCACAATATAGGCACAAAATGGAGAATAACAGAGATCAAATGGACCATTTGAGAGTAATCTAATTCCTATTTCACCTAGACTAAAATTAGTAATTTCAACTCAACGTGGCTCTAAGTTGATTCCTTGTAGTTCCTTTTAATGATAAAAAATATATCAAAAATAAAAATAAATAGTATTTTTTGTCAAAAGGGACATAAAATAACAAGAAAAACATCTTTGATATAAGTTTAGTAATGCTTTCATACTGGGTAACAAAATATAATTCTTTTGTTGATCAGAAACGACGCCTATAGTTTATCATGTCATTTATTTTCTTTTTCTTTTTAATATGCCATATGCAGTGCAACAAAGAGGCGGCCATTTCAATGATGATGAACTTACTTGCCGGGGATTCTGGTCGGCCTTGTGAAGTTTAAATATCAGCTTCCTGTACAGTAGTCTTGCACCGGTTTTGCGAAACGAGATCGCCCTTAGGTTTAGTAATTACTTTCTATAAATACCATACGACACACTGTCAGGACATCAGTCGTTCATCCGAGTAACAGGAACAACAATGTTTAAGCTTGTGCTATTGTGTACAGTCTTCGCTGCAGCGGCGGCCAAGCCTGGGACTGTGATCGCAGCACCTTTCACGCAGTACTCTACTTTCGTGGCACCAGCATCTACATCCATCTCTAAATACGACACCAGTGTAATCCACCCAACGCCGATTCATTATTACACTGCACCATTGGCATACGCTCACTTGATCAAGAAGCGCTCTCCTCAGCTGCCTTTGGCGTACTACACGCACTCTAACTACGTTGCGCCTACTACCTATATAGCGCCAAACACTTATGTGGCTACAGCTCCGCTAGTTTCCAGCACATCGTTTCTGCCAGCTGTTGCACCGATCTCGCCAGCTCTGCACTTAATAAAGAAGAGGTCCGTGCTAGCAGGGGCATACTTCCCTCCACAAGTCTACACTGCAGCTTCAACTCCAATCCTTACCACTTCGTACGCATCAGCCGCCGCTCCTTTGATCCCCACAGCTCATTTGTACCCTGCGAACGTTGGTTACACTCACCTTATTAAAAAACGTTCTGCTCCTCTTCTTAATACCTATATTGCTCCCACTGCTTATTCTCACCAGTCTAGGTTTGACCTGCAAACTTCTCATACACCCCTCACTTCTATTACCTACAGTGCCCCTATTGCCTATGCCAACAACCTTGCATACTCTCATGTGTACTAAATGAGGATCTCCAAATGATTTCAACCGAAATCTAATGATTACTAAAACCTGTAAATCCAAAATTTCCACACAGTTAATAGAATTCCCGATGTACATAAATACTTATGACAAATAAACTTCATTCTGGAGACGTAATTTGAAGTTTGATTTATTTAATTTCATACCTCAACTCATAAGTAAAGACGGTTGGTACTAGTGTATATGTAAATACATATTATTATGTGATTCTACTTAGTTAATATGAAATATTGTTACTGGATTTTTTGGTATTTTAGGGAACTTATGTATTAATAATTTATGATAGGAAAATAGTTTCACATTACAAGAACCAACGTATAGTACGTATGAGTTGCTACCGTCGTCCATCGAAAATTGCAACTAAAGAGTAATCACCTAGATCTTGAAAGATTCTCCTTAGATCTGCCAACCTGTGTACGCAGCCTATTAAGCGCCTTCCAGGTTGGCCAAAGGAGTTTATCTCCTGGAGGTAGTTTTCTGCCAAGAGGACGAAAGTCGAGAGAGGGAACCTATTATGAAATATATTTTCCCTGGCCTTGGGAGCGTTGTTATTATCGACAGGAATAATGTTGAGGAATCAATTTCGACTTTTCGGCCTTTACATGATTTGATTTTGGCCATAAAAGTGTCTAGAATCAGTTTTCTGCTTCCGTTTTTCTAATGCGAAGGCTACTTCTCTGCGGACTGCTGGATGGGCAATGCCAGCTAGTGGGTGTAGCATTCCTACCGGCGTCGGCTTTAGACATCCGGTTAATTTCAGAGCAGTCAGAGCTAGATAGCATGTAGTTGTGTTGAATAATTTCGTCGTGATTGTCAAGAAGTGTTAACCAGCCAATATTTGCCTTAGTACCTATGCTATACACAGACAGACAGACATTAATATAGTAACACCCTTAAAACTGGTGCAATAACAGTATTGCCTAGTCAACTATCGTACATAGACTTTAAGTAAACAAAAAAACATTTTTTTTTCACCTTAGTGACTGTGTAAATAACAAACAAGTATATAAAAACGTGATCTTGCTAGCAACAAACTATTATAATTTAAGCTCCGACTCTCACTTGCATGTTTCTATTTTTGTTTAATCTATATTCTATTTCCAAGGTCGAATAGTCAGACACTATTAAACTGTTTCCTAGAGGCCAATCCAGACACAGATATATATTTTGACAAACCTAACGTAATGTATAGTATAGGAATGGTCAAATGTATAGTAATTAAATTCAAAACTTAAAATAATATAGTAAGGTATACAGGTATAGGTAGTTAGGTTTCATTTAAGTGATATTAAAAGATCTCATTATAAAATTGTTGTGTTTGTAATTTTTTATTGTAATTTGTAATATTTTATTGGGTATGTTAAAATTTTATTATTGTTGATTTTATGTATTTGTGTATTTTATTATGTATATTTAGTAAACGATTTGGTTGAATGTACTGTAAGCTTATGTTTGATGAATAAATGAATATGAATTTGTTCGTGTTCAGTGAAAAACCATGTGAATAGCAATACTATTACCCTGAAAATCACGTGGAAGTGATACGTGTTGTTATTGTGCCAACTTGGGCAAATAAATTAAATTCCTTGACTAAATTTAACAATAGAGCTTTTTGCCACAAAGTCTGGTACGATAGGTAACCTCGTGAATATAGTTTTGTTGATGTTTACTTCTTTAGATTAATATATATTAGGTAGATATGTATATACTACTGACTATAATAAATATTTTCTGTAACTACTCTTTTTAACCAGATACTATATCAGTGCCTTTAAAAAAAAACGCTTATCTAGCTTAGAAAAGGAAAAAAGTTTATTTGTTTGATATTTACTCAAAAGGTTCAACTTTTTTTTGGAAATGGGCGGTTATAGGTCGACAGACAAACTTAGTGTTATCTGCTTTTTTAGTAGTTAAGTATTACCAACTTTTTTTGTATTATATGAATTTATTTCTAATATTTTTTTTCTATTTATTTCTATTAATTTTTAATTTATTTAATTGTATTATTAAATTTACATTGACAAATAAACCTATTGTCGCGGTGACTACTTATGTATTTCTCTATTATTTTAATTACGTTTATAAGATAGTGGATGATTAAGTATAACAAATTTTATAAAATGAAGATATTGAATATGAATTTGGCAGGTGAAATAATATTTTTAAAGGAGACTGTTCTAAGAAGGGTTAAGTAATATACCATTAAGTTAATCTATAAAAGGTGGTTTAATACCTAGCGATTTTTTACCGCTTAAGATCGGCTGAATAGGAGAAATTGTCATGGAAATCATTTTACGTCACATAGAATGCAACTTCCCGAGAAGAGCGAGACACCCTGAATGGTAGCCTGACACAGACCGTATCCACCAACAATGATCATGATGATGATAATGATTTTCTGGGTTAAGAGAAGGGATTAAACTTTTGCAGTTGAGCATTCTAAGATAGTAAAGTAAAGTAACTAGAAATTTTCAAAAAGGAAGGTTCTACGACATTTAAAAATAATATAAAAACATATTTTTTTGATAATGACAGACAGAAACAAAGAAAGTAACAAAATTATTTATTAGGTATTGTTATTCTACGAGTATGTATGAATACTGACATATTACTGTAATTACTTAAACTTTTCTATGGTATATCCTTCCATACGGTCGATAATCGGCACATCGGTGTTCACCTCATCGCCGTTATTATCCTCGATAACAATGTAATTCTGTTTTTCAGATTTTTGTACAATTTTCGTTTCTTCATTAACCGGTTTGGTGAGCACCTTCAATTTCCCATAAACTTCTTTGTCACTCACTTTTACCGCATCTCGGTTTTCTGTTAGGAAATTATAATTCCTTTCATTCTGTTCTTGTACTTTATCTAACGATATTGGATGTTCTAGGGCTCTTGACAACGGCAGATTGTGAAAAAAGGTCAACGCTACGGGTGTTAGTATAGTATCTGCTGTAAACATTGATTTTATAATAGAGTCCCGAGTTTTTTCATCTGCTGAATGTTTTTCATAAAGAAATTTTGGAGGGTTGTATAACAATGGTCCAGATATGTATGGGCTATGTCTGATGTCAATTCTTGATTGATGAGACACTGCACTTGGCGCTGCATATATTACTGGAACTAATTGTCCACGTACTACGCATATAGTACTCACAAAGAAAAGTAATGTAATCATATTGGTTGCTAAAATGTGTATGCAGTGTGCATGAGAAGCAGATGAGATGTTATTTTATACTCGTATAACGGTAGATGTTACGTCGTGCGCGAGCGCAACAGGTTCAAGTTCTCGGTCACTAAACAGGTCGTTGCGTCATTGCGGTTTGCCCCAGGGCACTGGCCGGATTGAGATGCGTTGTAAAAACATCAATATAATTTATGATTGATGCTCTATTGCATAAGAATGCAACGCTAGCTTGAATTTTTGGTAAATAATAAATTGAATCGAAATCTGTCAAATTAAAAACTTATTATAAATGCCTACTTTTATTATTTTGTGATCATAAAAAAACCACTCAGTTTACTTGTAATTGAACAAAATGGGTTTTACCGAGTTTTTTGTCGATACAATTACAATGTTCAATAGCACGACAATTGTATTATTAGTTTTGATCCCGTCACTCTGAATCAGCATTCAGAGTATAAGAAGGTGGCCTCAGTTCATGAATATCAGTCAACTCCTGTAGTTTGATACACATAGTTGGTAACGAAACAAAGAATAATATTATAATGTTGTGTGCGCTCGTATTGCTTGCTACCGTCGTTCTTTGCAGCAGCCATGCTGTACTGCCTTTAGTGGCACCAGCTCATCATGGTGCAGTAGTCGCATCAGTGCCTGTGCACGGCTATGCAGGACATGGTTATGGAGGATATGGATTTGGAGGATATGGTCATGGTTACGGTTACGGAGGACTAGATGGATATGGTTTCGGACATGGAGGCCACGGTATTGGAGGTCATGGATACACTGGATATGGGTTGGTTGGGCACGGTGCACATCACGTCTTGAAACGTTCTCCTCATATCGTCCCAGTACCAGTAGCTCACGTGGCTCCTGTTGCACAGATCGCTCCCGTTGCTGTGTCTCATCAGTCTCGATTGGATGTGCATTCTTCTCCGGCTGTGGTTTCTGCTTCAGTTGTTCAACCAGTCGTAGCACCTGTACTCCATGCTGCTCCTCTCTTGCATAAGTCTTTAGTCGCTGCACCCCTGCATTTTGGTGGACTTTATGGCGCTGGAGCTGGTTACTACGGTGCTGGACATCTTGGCTATGGGCACTACTAGACTAAAATAATATGTTTGAGTGTAAATTAATTATCTAAGATTGAAATATGTTTATATCTTATTTTGGCAAATAAATGGTTCTATATATATTTTTTATTTATTATAGATAACTTATACTCAGGTATTAGTTTGATTTTTATACAACTTATGCACTAGGAATATAGCCTGTGTCGCAGGACGTAACAGACATTTATGAGACGGACACAAAAATCACCCAGACTCAGAACAACAATTTGTAGGTCACACAAAGTGTTGTTGCATGTTGGGGTCGAACCCACAATACTCAGCGCAGTAAGCAACAGCGAGGTAACCGCTTAAGCCATCCGTGCAATCTGGTGCAGTGCATTTATAAACCGATATTAATCATTATAATTCAATACTAATCTTATCAAAGTTATTGTACTTTAGGTGCATCATGAATTCATGATTGTCACCATGGTTTAGAAGTATTATTTTTTTGTAAAGTTAATTATTTTTATCTAAATTCATTTGATCTCGTGCAAACATAAGTGAAATTGAATAAGCCTTGAATTTTAATAACTCTAATGTACTTGTGTTTCTGGACTTAATTGTACATAAAGAGATACAACATGTACTCGTAGATAAAAAGAGAACAAATATTCATCATATTTTCAGAACATTGTTTCTTAATTTTATATCTTTGTGTCAGCATTTTGTCTTAGTAATCATTATGAGTTGTAATCTAGCGACTTGATCGGACTAACACCATTAACAGCTTCCTGCTTTCTTTCCAAATTTTTGCCTCGTACAATCAAGCTGTGTAACGAATATCACCTGCGGTGATAGCAGACCGACAAAACTTCCAAACCTTTAAGAAAAGTACATTGAGAGTATACTCTTTCCCTCAAAGGCCATGACTCCCGAGTTGCAGGCGTTCATGGGGCGTTACTTTCTATCAGGTGATTCGTCTGCTCGTTTGCTCCCTTTATCATTAAAAAAACCTCTGTGGTTGTGGATATTCCGTTAATTTAAAATCAATACCTCAACGTAATGGGAGGTAGACACACGAGAGTTAATACACCTACATAGGAGGTACATATTTATATAAAACTTTATACGATAGTCGTAATGTTTTTGAAGCCAAAGCTAAAACTGATAAAGTGGACATCTGTCTCCATCACAAGTAAAAATTTTTATCAAACGGTTCTATTAAGTTGGAAATGTTAGTTAAAGCGTTAGTATCCAAATAGGTATATCTGGCATCATAACTACATATGAAATGATTTTATTTATACGCAAGTTTACAGATTATATAATTTTACTTAGATCTGTGTGTGTAATTCATCCATTGGGTAAGAGCCGACTAAGGAAGGAAATTACGCAGGACAACAGATCTTCAAAAAGAAGAAAAAGTTGAAACAAACCCTATAACAAAACGTCTGGTCAGTGTGGTTTATTAGGCCAAAACCTCCTTTCTTAGAACATGCCAATGTCCAGCAGTGGATTATTAAAGGCTATTGATGATCATGTATGTGTGCCAATCGGGGCTATAATTAATAAAAAACTGAAAATGTATGATGAATCATTTATTTATTGGCAGTGGAAGGTACATTACAATTTATGTCCAAGTATAATTCAATATTTTTTAAATATTTAGTAAGGGTGCAAGCCGTAAGCCCTGGAGTATAAGGAGGGGTAGCCGTAACCGTAACCTGGAGCTACCACGGGTGTAGAGTAAGCAGACACAACCGGGCCGGCGGAGTATGCAGACACTAGGGGACTGCCATAAGATACCGGAGACACGACTGCGCTGTATGACAAGGGAGAGACAACAGACCGCTTGCGTAGGTGGTGGTAAGGTGCCAGGGCCTTGGCAGTGTAGTGTGCAGCGCGTGCGGCAACTACTTCAGGTGTGTCGAGGGGCACGCCGTTTATAGCATCCAAGACGACAGCTGGTTGATTATGACCCTGCGACAGACCGGCGACAGCAGGTACCACAGCGGGACCGCTGTACACGGATGAACTGTAGACCGCGGGTGATCTGTATACTGAGGGTACGCTGTAGACGGCGGGGCCGCTGTACACGGCTGGGGCACTGTACACAGCAGGTGAACCGTGAACCACGCTGGAGCTGTACTGTGATACCGAGCTGGAGCCGGGTATCACGGAGCTGTACGCTACCACGCTGGGCTTGGCCGCCGCCATGGCTGCCACGGAAAGCAACACCACCAACTTGAACATTGTGGTCTGTGTTGTTGTCGAACTGAAGAAATCGGATCAACTGATGGCTAAGTCGCTGTCACGGATCCTTTTATACGTATCGTAGAGTTAAAAAATATTAAGCCGGACAACCTTCAGATCTACTCTCTATGATTTGATATTTATGTCACCTAGTATTTTAATTATATACCATAATTTAAATATATTTTTTGTCATGTGTGTTGTACTTCCGTGACTAACTGATAGATATTGACACTTATCAAATCCAAGGTATGCATTACATTATCTATCTGTATTAGGTACCTGCAGCTATAACAGATAGATAATGTGAATTATAAGTTTTCTACAGTATTTTAAATGTAATGCAATTTTTATTTTTCTCAATCTGCAAGGTAATGAAGAACGTGATTTCATCGGCATTATACGTGCAATTAGTTGGCGTTTATCTAAAAATTTTATTTCGTTCGAAGCACACATTTAAGAATAATATAATTATGAACACCATGACATGTTTGATATAAATAGGTTTTTCTTTTTTAATTATTGAAATTGTTTTTCTGAGAACCTGCTGTCCATTGTAAATGTAATATTTTCGGTATTTCCTTTAAATTAATTATATCATTCAGGTAATTAAGGTTTTCATTGCATTCTGCTGACATTTAATGTAACGACAACAAAAGTTGTTGATCTTTATGATTGCAGTCGGGCTTGCTCTTAACAAACTTGTAATAGTTGAATCTGATAAGACCAACACTTCTTAATAGTTACTTAATGAAACCACTTTAATTCCACGACTGACTATAAAAAGTAAATATTAAAGTGTGATTCTATATTTTATACATAATAATATGTAACTATGAACTAGCTGCAATCGGTCGCTCCGAGCACGTGTGTGACTTTGCCATATTTTATTTTATAAAGAGAACAGACAACCTTTTTATAGTACTAACCCTTACTGTTTCATCTATTTAAAAATTTAACTTTACAAATAAATACCGTTTTTAAATGTTTAGTGATTTAAATTTCAAAAATTCATTCTTTATGGACACCTACTCTATACTAGAAATTTGCCTGCCAAATCTCAAGTTTGTACCATTATTACTTTTAAATAGTTCGTAAATAACCCGTGAGTAATGGTGGATCCGTCTTTACATTGTAACTTTTACTAGAAGGCTGTCGTGACTGCATTGTTTGGCAATTTCTGCAGAGAACTTGCGGTAGAGTAAAGATAAAAGGAGCACAAGCTTTGCTTAGTTTGTGTGTCGATAGCGATGGGTAATAATATGTGTCAAGAAATTCTTTATTATATATTTATCTACTAGTTTGGATTAACACAGAATATAGATACCCACACCCACTTCTCCATAAAGCTTTAAATACTTATAATTTCACATTCTTTTGGTTGATTTACTTGACTACTTTTCCCATGGCACAAGGAATTATGAATTATGAAATTCTTTGGGTACTGAGTCTTGGGAAGTAATAACGAATAGGAATATATAAGTTACTAAAGTAATTAACATAATTGCGTAAGATCTAAAGTCAGCATATAAAACGACCTTGGTGGTTCATATCCATACATCCTGACATACTATAAAATGTAAGGTCTCCTTGTTATTTTCCCCATTTTCTGCTAATACTTCGATACGAATTTCCGATATATTTTAGTAAGATTTACTAAATATGTACTTGTCGCATATTTCGCATTTTGTCTGTTTGGCAATGTACTTGGATTTGTAAAGAATTAAACTAATCTCAAGTAACTGTGTAATGCTAATTAAATGCAAATATTTAAAAGTTATTAAAAAACTTCATAATATTGTATGGTATAATATTTATACGTCTTATTTTACAAAAGCGAAATCAAAAGTTGGTGCTGAAAAGTAACAGCCTATAAATATAGATACAAACGAATTTACACCAACAGTAATGCACATCAACATATATATGATCTTCACAAGTTTTTAAACCCAGCAAAAAAAAAATACTTCATGTGTACAATGTGTACAACGGCTACAATGTAGAAGAATTTTACGCAGTTTCAGCTTTAATTCTAATGTATATTTTACTTAAAATCTTCAGAAATGGTTACTTTGGTTAGAATATTTATTTTGTTAGTACCTGTACGGATACTTAGTACCTTGTATTTACGTCCACTGAGTTTTGTAGTGATTGTGAAGATAAGATGATTGATTTTTTTTATTGTGTCTACTTCAAGCAGTTTTAGGCCATAAGATATTTCTCTTCTGACCTAAAAACTTGCACGGCCTTTAGAATACTAATTAACTACAAGTTTTTTACCTTTGCTTATAGTAGCGCCACGCCTACTGCCGACTCCGCTATGAATATCTTTTTGAGATGTTTTGAAGTTTTCCGCCCGTGTAACGTTCTATGCCACAGTATAATTATAGCTTCCTACAGATCAAAGACAGGCCCTTTATAGCTGTACTCCTTTTAACAGAATCCTTCGCTAATTAGTACAAGTCTAGCTATATGAGTTATCCCGAAACGAGAACTTGTAACCGTTTTTATACAACCTTCCTGTCTCTATAGAAATAGAAATAATTTTTGACGTTCAGAAATACGAGTTTATAATAGTAAGAGAGCAACTCAGAATTTCTATTGTAGCTTTCATAACTCAGTTGAACTAGTAATAATTAAAATTTAAAACCCAAGCGAAAAGCGAAAAAGACGAAGTAACAAACTACTATTCAGTAAGTTGCATTATTGAATAAAAATATTAAAATTACACATCCAAAGTTTGGCGTTGGCAAGTTATGGCGGGATAAAAAACACACACACCGACACTAGTACATTCCTATTTAAACAGCCATGATTTAGTAATAGCCAAAGATTTTTAAAAATCTTTTCTACCCGCCTTGCGTAACCAGGTTTGAATACCGTTGCAACATGAGAGTAGTCACATTGTATTATGTTTAAGTTACATGATCTGTAATATTGTGCACGCTTTGTTTATCTATATGGCACATTTGATCATATCTGAGACGTGAGGTGGGCATTGTACAAATGTCAATGTTTTAAAACGATAATTTAATTTAGTAACACTTAACTGAATAGGTGATAGCCATACCTTCTAGTTAATATTTTTGAAGGTGTCAACATACTGTCAAATATGTAATATAAACCAGTGCTTATATTACCGTCAAAGTATTACATTACCACTGAAATATTTTTTCGTGTGATGTTACAAGTATCATTTTTATTCCTTTTTGTATTTCATATAAAAAGATCTGTATTAAGAAGTTAGACATCAGTTGTTCCGTCTTGCTCAGTTTGACTGCAACATATACCAATATGTACAAGCTAGTGGTCTTGTTTTCTCTGGCAGTGATGGTAACAGCTAAACCCAGCATAGTGGCACCGTTCGCGTACATCTCAGTAACACCGGGTTTCAGCTCGCTGTCTCAGTATAGCTCCAGTGTGGTTCACGGCTCCCCACCTGTGCATGGCGGTTTAACCGTCTACAGTCGACATGCTCACAACTCTATCGCTGCCATGTTTCCTCAGCAATCAATGGTACCAGAAGGCCTCAACGAACTCAACGAGTCTGAAGAACATACTGCTCACAGTGTCCACCATGCCACCAACAGATTTTTACCCTACCACCAATTACGAAAGCGCTCTATTGGCGTCCCAACCGTAGTTTTTAGCACAGTAGTGTCTCCCGTTTCCTATACCAACCCCTTAACTTCTGCCTATTTTGAGCGGGCTAATTCTCACCAAACCACCCGGCCGGTGGTTTCAGCATCGGCGTTCGCTACTGCCTCACCTCTTGGCTTAACTTCTGCATATGCCAGAATTCTTGGCTCTCATCCTAACTGAACAATGGACAAAATTGATCTCTTTACGTGAAAATGAACGAAGAACTACGAAATTACACGAGAAAAATCTTTTAATAAGTGGATATGTCTTTTCATTAGCATTTTACCTGCTTAATACAAAAATTAAAAAAAAAAACATCTGTAGCAAATGAAGTATAAAAAGAATATGCACATAATATACCAGTTTTGCTAAATTATCATTTTTTTTAACAGTTAATATCAAACCCAGGTATGTTTCATTATACAGTATTAGGTTACTAAAACTGTCATGGTTTAAGTAAAACCTGATTTTCAGCGAATGTCTATAATCTTATTGACATTAAAGAATTATATTTTTTTTATTTTAATCACCTACTTAAAACGATATCTTGTCTAGGTCTGGTCAGGTTCAGTACATACTATTGGAGTTACGGTGATAAACTATTACATTTTTTTGTTTTCTTAAACAGCTGTTCATAGTAATAGTTTATGTAAATATCAGGGGCTTAAGTATCAAATTGCCGATTTGTACTGAAAAATTGAAACTCGTTTTTTTCTAACATGAAACAAATTTATTTAATCAAAGTATTTACCCTCATTATCTATACATCCAAGTCGAAACGCAGAGTTGATATTGCAAGCCGTTTCTGCCGCGTTAGTTCCACGTCATGACTTATATTTAAAGATGACTCGGATTTTCGTAGTATCCATCTTTCAGGTCTAAGCTGAATAAAAAAAAAAATAGAAACTCGAAAATCGAATGGTGCACATTTTTTAAAAGAAGATCCTCATAGGTATCATGTGAAAAAAAACTCACACAATGAAGGTTTTATGTCAACTCAAAGTATCTATTACTATACAACGCCTATTTCATACCCCTATTTTTAACTGTTTTTAAAATTATCATAATATTAGGGGTTAAAGTATGAAAATGCCGATTTGTACTCGTTTTTTTATATTTATTAATATAGATTAATATATTTATTTAATCAACATATTTACCCTTATTATCTATACAGTGCTACCATCTAAACGGAAGTTAATTTATGCCTTTACGATCGAACTCTGGGGATCTAGATGCGACAAACTGAGTGAAAACATTTTGTACTACCGCCTGGAAAGACATTTTTTGTCACGTAGAAAATTGTCCAAATCAAGAAAAAAATGTTAGTCCGTTGGAGCAAGATCTAGCGAGTACGGAAGATGACGTAAGGTTTCTAATTACAGCTCCTGTAGAGTTGCAACGGTTTTTCGTACAGTGTGAGGTCTTGCGTTATCATTGAGCAACAATTGTGAAGATCGATTCACGAGTCGGAGCTGTTTGACTGTCAGTTTCACCATCATTATTCCAAGTTTGGCACGGTAAATGTCTGCTGTTAATGCCTGACCAGACCTGAGAAAACCATAGTGAATAACACCATAAAGAAACCACCAAACAGTTACCACTACCTTTTTATTCGATCCAATATTGTCGATCTTTGTTGTTTTTTTTATTTATTCATTTGTAAATCAACATTTTAACAATATTTTATTCCATACTTAATCGGAACATGCCTTCTTTTAACAATAGTCACCATAATACTAAATTCGCTAAACTTTGAAGTTTGATGGCGAGATGCGCCCTCTTTTATACAAATTACACTAAATTAATACTACTTACTTCTAAAATTCTACAATATTATATTATATTCTTAAATAATTTTATATAACATTATTTCGGACCTATATCTTGCTGACGAACTTAGACGTTCGTTCTCCGTAATAGTTCGACACCTTCGTTTTCACCAATAAGTTTTCTCTGATACTTCTTCTATTGTATTTATTTGTTACAGTTTCTTTGTTCTCATTATTATAGTAATGTTCTAAAGCTATTAGGTATTTGACTTTCTTATTTGTAGGTAAATTTTTGCAAATGGAAAACAGTTTATCATATTATCTGTTACACTTTTCCCTCACTTTCCCTTACTTATTATTAAATTTAATTAGGCTTATTTGTGAGTCTTTTGTATTTCTCAAATAACTTTTGAACGTTCGACCATAAATAATAAGTCCATAGCTAAGTAGCAAATCTGCAAGTGCGTAGTATACGATCATTAATGTGTGTTTATTCAATATTCTATGTAACTGGTACAACTTTCCCAATACAGATCTCAGCTTATCACAAGTATCAGCGACATGTGGCTTCTAATTAAAGTTCCTGTCAATAGTTAAACCTATATATTTAAAATTATCGACGTATATCAAAGTCGTGCAACTGCAATTAACCTTATTCGGTTCGTTCGGTTCGAACGGTTCGTTCTTCAAGTCAAAGCTTCCATTACGAAAACGTTTAAGTCAAAAAACGCACCGTGCGTTCATTAGCAGTCTCCTCTCCAAAGGCAGCGTTGATATTGCCAGTCGTTTCTGTCGCGTTAGTTTCGCGTAGGAACTCGTTTTCAAAAATGACTCGGCTTTTCGGAGTATCGGTCTTTCAGGTCTAAGCTGAATAGAAAAAAACAATTTCGGAAATCGAATGTTGCATATTTTTTAAAAGAAGGTACCTCATACGTATCATGTGAAAAAAGTTTCACATGAAAATGTCACACCATAAAGGTTGAATGTCAATTCAAACTGTATATTACTATACAACGGCAATTTCATACTTTAACCCCTATTATTTTACATATTTTTATGTAGAATGAAACAGTTTATTTCTTCACTTGACAAAGTAATAACATCGATATTTCTGTCCAACAGATGAAATGTTTTAACTTTGAAAAGATATCGTCTGTCACATTGTATACAATGTGACAGACGATATCTTAAACTTGATGATTTTAAACTACTCCGTCAACAAACTCTTCAGCTGGAGAACTATAGTTCTCCAGCTGAAGGGTTTAACCTTTGAGGGTTTTACAATTGGTAAGAAAATTGGACTCTATTGCATACTAATACTGGATACTTATTCAAAATTTAAAGAAAACTATTAAACTACATGCGCAGCTATTCAGTACTATAATTAATCTCATTTTTCTTTAGTGTTATATAAAACCGAAACAATTATTATCACCTTAAGCACAGTTTTTTGTTTTTTTATTTATTCTATGTTAGACTAAAAAAAGTAAAGACCACTTCAAGAATATTAAGTATGAATATATTTTCTTAGAGAGTATACTTATTAGTAGATATCTGTCATTCTGTGGGTCGTCACAAAATACCGGTACTGAAAGAACAATGGCAGAATTTTTTACATAAAACTTAAGCGTTAAAAATGACTCAATAAACTTAATAAATAGTTTTTCTATGATTTGTCATTACACCACCATTATATTGTATAAGTCTTATAAGAGACAGGATTTTTTTGAAGAACTTATTAGACCCTGGATAGATAAGGATAGAGCCTGATTGGGCATGGTGTCAATTCGTTGAGGCTCTAAAACATGATCCGGGTCCTCTTTAGAGTAGGGCACTTCGGGGTGGTTTTTAGTGGATTCACCACATACTCCTGGCTCCTAAGTCCCCGAGGAGCAGGAGATCCGAAGAGATTTTACACCCCGAGACTGAGGTCGTTCTGCGACCTCCGGCGCCTGAGTCGTCTGCGGTATCTGGCCCGTTCCCGAGCCTGGCGGACCGAGATAGTTCTGGCGGACTGGGAAAGGATGGAGGAGGACCGGCAGAGGTTTACTCTCCCGGTCCTCCTCTATCCTTTCCCAGTGATCACCTGCGTCAGTCGGTCCCGTGTATGAGAGGATCCCGTGATGCCTCTCGAGCCAATCCTCCATAACGGGTCTTACCGCCGCGATGACGGCGTGCCCGGCGCTCGGTTGCCCAAGTCGTTCCCTCCACTCCCCTACGAAGACCCGGTGGAGTTGGGATTTCCGGTCATCGATTTCTCGAGTCTCAGGACTCCGACCCAACTCCCGCGCCTCCTTGCGCCACTGATACAGAGCCGCAAGGGCTTTCGCCTCCACTTTTATTCAACCTGTATGTCGACCAGCTTGTCGAGCGACTCAGACGCACTCGTGTCGTATGCTATATTGACGGTACCTGTGTCAACAATATTAGTTATGCAGATGACATGGTGCTGCTGGCTACCTCGATAAGCACGTTAAAGGTGCTGTTGGGCATATGTGACACATATGCTAAAACTCATGTACTTCAATATACTCGTAATTCTAAAAAAAGTGAATGACTCATATTCAAATCGGAGAAACATCGGCCGACCCATGTGCCTATATATACCTCGACGACGTTGAACTAAAGAGGGTTGACAAATTTAAATACCTGTGTCATATTCTGACCGATGACCTCAGAGATGACGAGGACATAGAGAGAGAGCGCAGGGCGTTGGCGTTGAGAAGCAACATGCTCGCTCGCAGGTTGGCTCGATGTACACATGAAGTTAAGATAAGGCTTTTTAAAGGATTTTGCCAGTCTTTCTACTCGAGTAGCCTATGGGTTAGGTATACGCGGTGATCCTACGACTTCCTTTTTTTTTTTGCCGTGCGGCAATCCCCTCGGATACCACCTATCGGTGGCATGTCGGACTCGAACCGACTAGAACCGCACGCGGTCTCGGGTACTAATAGCCGGGGAACCAGGTATACCCTAGAAAGGAAGTCTCTGGTGCCCCGAGTCCTACGACCCCCTGCGTATTCAGTATAACAATGCTTTCAGAGTGTTGTTCGGGCTGCCGCAATGCTGTAGCGCCTCCGGAATGTTTACCGAAATGCAAACTAACGGGTTCAAGGCGATAATTCGTAAAAAAAAGCTTTCATCTTGCAGCGTCTACGGAACGCCAACAACAGCATTCTGAAAGTCATTGCTACAAGGTTCGACTGCCCTATTCAAAAACATTGGGGAAGGCATGTTTATAGGTGTAACATGAAATTAATTTAATGTAATGATACTAATAATACTAACTTAATTATATGCAAATTGTTACTAAGACACTAACACTGGACTGCATCACAACGGTCTGATATAAATGATTATTATTTTTTTGGGTTTTAATTTTTATTTTCATAGCTTTTTAGCTTGTTCCACCGTATTTACGGGCCTAAACCAAGTAAATACAGCATGGGGTGTGTAAATTATGTTGGTGTGGTGTCATCTAACTGAATGAATTTTCTGAAGATTTTACGAATTCTGATAAACTTAATTGTTTTAAGCTATGGAGAAGATCGTTTGGAATGAGCAGTGGAGAGGACTATTGGGACTATGTAGACGTTATGTTGTTTTCATATTCCGAGCACTTTTTCTTTCAAATCAGCATAGTAGCTTATTTTTTAGGATATTGCAATATCTAATAGGTGTGTGATTTTCCTAATCTTGTCTTGTAAGGTTATGTCTGGCAATCTAGTATTGAAATGTATCGTTTTATCTGTAAGTATATTTTGTGCGTGTCATTTTCTAGGATAGTTTGTGGTTTATATTTATAATAAGAAGTTTTGGTGTTTTTTATAAGTGAATGTTTGAGTGCTAGTTTTTGATGAATAATGTTTGCAACTTGATTATGTCTATGAGTGTGTAGTCTGTTTGCGCGAGTGTTGTGCATGCTCCTATTATGTGATGTATAGTTTTAGATTGAGTGTGACATCGGTGACACATTTGTTGTTTGTGAGAATGGGCTCCTTAATAATTTATTTTCTGTAGTTTTTGGTCTTGATGGTTTAATCTTGCATGCATGCAGCGAGCATAGCATATATATATATATATATAAAATCTGGCCCGGGGACGGTGTGCTTGTAACGGATCCGTAGAACAGCCGCCCTTACCTGCGCATCTAACTCATAGTGTAGCACTAATCCTTTAAAAAATGTAGTGACTTCAAACAATATTAACAAAGAGCACTAAAAACCTGGCAGCAATCGCGGTTGATTAGCTGACATTTTTTGAAGAGTTCCGTTGTCTGTATCCGAAACTCATCATCAGATCTATATGAAATTTAAATGGGACCCTTTCAAACAACAAAAGATTTTTGAAAATCCTTCTATATATGACGGGTTCATGTCCGAACATACATATTTTTTAAACATCCGAATTTATAACCTCCTCCTTTTTAAGTCGGTTTAAAATACAAATATAAAAATATTGCTAGGATGTAAAGACAAGTTATCGATTTACTATGATCAATTAAGTACGTGTGGTGACGGTATGGTATTGGGTGGCTAACAAGCAGGCCGGTCAGTCGATGGTAAGTGACTACTTCCGTCCATGGACACCTGGAACTCAAGAGTCACACAAGTGTGTTGCCGCCTTTGAGCGCCTTCCCAAGGCTGGCTACTCGGGCTTCCGGTAAAACTCACTCGGTGAAAAGTCAACAAAAAATGCTTAACACCAATTTCCTGTGAGGCCGTGTCACTCCGGTCGAGCCGTACCATATATAATATAATAATAATATAATAATTTTACACATCTCACACACGGCTGTCTGATCCCAAACTAGGCAGAACCTGTACTATAGTAACCAGACTGGTGATAAACACATATATTTATAAATACATACATATTATAGATAAAGTACACCCAGACACAGAATAAATTACCATGCTCATCACACAATTATTTGTCCTGGGTGGGAATCGAACCCACGACCTCCGGCTTAGCAGTCAGGGTCACTAACCACTAGACCAACAGGCCCGTCAGAATATGCTGAAGAATGGCTGGTCCACGTTAAATGATATTATTTATTTGATTTATTTATATATTATTATATAATATTCGTTTACAGGTGTTTGTTTATTTGATTGAACTGTTAATGTTTTTATTACGCGGGATAAGAACTATCCGGTGGGGAGGATAAGACGGTTTCTTTATTATGATGGGATCGTTATTTTGAAGAGGAACCAAAAGGCCCGAAGAATACCACTGGTCTCATGACTGCATTATGAGACCCCCAACAGAGCGGTTGCGCAAGTGATGGAAAGCCCTAGAGCGCTGGGAGAGGCGCAGAGTGGGACACAGATTCCGACACACCACCCCACCGCAAACTCCGGTGTGCTGACGGCTCGTTTTATAAGGTAAAAAAAAGGCGCTGTACTCGGGTGCACTAACCACGAGGGAAGCCCTCTCTTGGTGATTATTCTCGTAGGCTTCCCCAGTTAGGGTCTGGGGGTGACTTCCTCAGGCCTATGGAATGTCCAAGTGGTGTTCCACTACTGGCGATTCACAGGATTGGGCCCGGATGGGCCTATTTCTAGTTCCAGGGTGGTGTCAGTTCAGTGAGGGGGAGGGCGCGAGCTTTCGCAGATGGAGTGCTTTCGATCCGTCGGTCGGCACGCACGAACAGGTTTGTGGTCAGGGGTCTCACAAAGTCATCCAGGCTTTACATGCGCATATTCCTGGAGATCGATTACGCATAATGCGAGGGGCGTCGGCGAGAGTACGTAGTGCTAGCGACTTCTGCACATACAACTGTCAGTGGTTCGTCTTGGAGATGAGCGAACACCAGGCCGGGGTACCATACGTGAGTCGGCTTCGAATGTACGTCTTGTAAACACCAAGCTTCGCACGGAGCGGTTATCGGGACAATAGCACGCGCAGCACGCGCTTGAACAACGTTGTTTTTATCATGAGGTTGCATGGATTTCACCATCGCGGACCATTCGATATTTTCCGCCATGAGCTTAAGCCGACAATGGCGGTGGCAATGTATAGAACAGGTGAACTGTGTGCTACAATGAAGCTAGTTTCAGGAATCAAGCTGGTGCTGGGTTATAGATCGGTATACCAACGGCGCCACCACACTGAGGTTAGCTGCCATCATGTCCGCCACGGAAAGTAACACCATAAATGGAGAGGACAAATATTGTGTGACGGGCACAGTTATTTATTCTATGTCGCGGTGTAATTTTTCTATAATACATATGTGTTCAGACCTATAAAAGTATGTTTATTTTAGAATTATATGTGCCTGATAGCCGGCAATAGGCTTGTCTTACCTGTTACGTAGGTAAAATGTATTATTCCTGAATGGCAGGAAACTGCTAAAATCCTTATTGTGCTTTTTGTATACTGTACTCGTGTACCAGGTAAAACCTTGGCTACATCATTTCCTTTATATAATTTACTTTTTATATGTAACTTTTAAAACTCAAGTGCTGTGCCGTACAAAATTGAAAAAAAACCAGAACAAATAAAAAACAATAAATAATTTTGCAAATTATTATTATAAGAATGATTTTCAAAGTCATTGTAGTTTTTTTATGTTTAACTGGAAACGTTTTTTTTTAAATACTTTCGCTATAATATCGATATTTCCTTCAAAACATGTTTTTGTATAAGTCTTCATTTGTTTCTTTTACGGAAAAATTAACGGGATAGCCGGCTAACCTGTGCATGGTGTATAAGCTACGGAAAAATAGCTACGGAAGATGTCACTTAATTTCCAAACGTGACACCTATTTTGCGATGCTAAATAATTATAATTATACTAATTGTAATAAATGATAATACAAATGTTTTTGCCATTGTCTCCTAACGTAACAAATTAACTAGCTATATTACCTTCGCTCACCTAGCTTGATTATCGGGTGTTCTTTTAAAAATTTATAATTCTAGATATTCATCAAAATTTAGCTTTGAAGGACTAACATAAATTTATATGCATGATGTAATTACACAAAAAATTACTAGTAGTACAAAGACATGCGTGTGTTGTTTTTAGTATAAAAGGATCCGTGACAGTGAATTAGGCATCAGTTGATCCGACTTCTTCAGTTCAACAACAACACAGACCACAATGTTCAAGTTGGTAGTATTGCTTTCCGTGGCAGCGATGGCGGCGGCCAAGCCCGGCGTGGTGGCACCGGTGGTATACAGCTCCGTGGTACCTGCCTCCAGCTCAATATCGGAATACAGCACCAGCGTTCTTCACGGCTCACCTGCCCTATACAGAGCCCCAGCTATTGTCAGCGCCCCCGTCGTTGTCAGTGCCCCTGCTGTGGTACCTGCCGTAGCTGCTCTGCCGCCTTCTCCTTACCTGGCCCTGAGAGGTGTCCACCACCTCGGCAAGCGCTCCATTGGAGTTCTACCATTGACGTACAACCCCTTGATATCCAACGTAGGACCAGTGGCTCTTACCGCTCCTTTAGGTTACTCTTCTGTATACCCCAGGGCCTTAAGCTGGCACCCGTACTAAACAACAATCACTGTTAAATTTGATGTAACAAACCAATGGCAATAAATAACTGGCAATAAATGATGGCAATAATAATAAGTCTCCCATTTCTTCCTCCAGTCCCTTGGTATCCAACTACCCCGTAGGAACAGTGGCTCTTTACTCTTCTGTATGCCCCAGGGGCTACAGCTGGCACCCGTTCTAAACAACAATTACTGTTATATCTGATGTAACGAACCAATGGCAATAAATAAATGTTAATTTAAAAAAAATCTGTATTATGTTTTAATTTATCATACCAAAGGCACAATAATGCTGACAAAAAAAAATTGCTTTACTTTTAGGGAATTATTATAATTATAATACCTAACTCAGTTTTTAATAATAATGTTTCATTATGAAACAAAAACGAAAACGATATTATTAATTTGAATTGTTTGCTTCTGAAACTAATGTAAGGTATGTTTGCGATTCTGCGAGTAGAAAGGTGATTTTTGTTTTGATTTCTATTTATCCTTGTTTTTTTTTGTTTTGATGTATAAAATTATTGTAATGGGTATGACGGGTACACTCAAAGCAAAGAAAGAAATAATGCTATTAATTGACACAAGTCAATATATTTACACAAGAAAAATTTATATATTGGTCGCATTTGATGTGTTACATCTGTCATCTCGGCTACTTACTGTCGCAGTTACTGTCTTAGGACCGATTCAAATTCTTGTAAAAATAAATGATAAAAATAATATGAAAATTTTATTGTAGCATTTCACTAAAAAAATTAAAACCCGTCTTACAGTTCCAGCTGCAGTAGTCTGTCAATGTCGTTAGCCTGTTGGTAATGACTGGCCTGTGGGTCTCCGAAGAATTACTCGTCCCGGTTCGATTCCGAGCTGGGAATGATAAATGACATTTATTTCTGCAAGTAAATCTTTTCAGACTTTTTACAAAGTCGGAGTATACAGCTAGAAGGCGCCAGCAGTTCCTAAGACTCACTCTGGGAAGAAACGCCGAAACAAACCACAGAGTCTTTTTTTTAAGTCCGTGTACAATGTTAAAGAGAACTATGTGAGTGCAGTGGATTTCTCCAAAACTAAAATTTTGTCCTTCCACCCTTATCTAAAATCTCCATTAGATATAAACTTTACTTATAATGGTTTCTAAAATAGAAGTTGTCCCCGAATTTACCCTATTAGGCCTGTCAATTGGAACACACACATCAATTGGAAATCTCACATAACGAAATTAAGATCTAAAATCTCTAAGTTCACATATGCCTTCCGCGAAGTTAAAAAGACCACCGACCTTCAAACACCACTTATTACGCATACGCTTATGCCTGGTTTAGTTACGGCATCATATTATGGGGTAACAGCACAGATGCTCCAACACTCTTCACACTTCAAAAAAAAACTAATTAGAATTCTGGTCAATATAGAGGACACCGATAGCTGTAAACCATACTTTAGAGCACACAACATTCTAACACTGCCATCTATTTATATCTTGGAAATATGTAAATTCGTACGAAAAAATCAACATCTGTTTACAAAAAACTACACACTACGCCATGGCCTCCAGAGAATGGGGACATCTAGTGGCAGATTGATTGCTGCGATTGGTGATAGGATTGGCGGCCTGATCGTATTATATCGCAATCGGGTCACCACGCCGCAATCGAGGGGAAAGTGTTTTCCCTTGGGATAGGGCCTGATTAGACATGGTGTCGATTCGAGGAGGACCTGAAATAACATGATCCGGGGCCTCCCAGAGTACGGCGCTTGAGGCTAGCGTCGAGGTGGCTTTAAGTAGAATCACCAGATACTCCTGGCTCCTGAGTCCCCGAGGAGTAGGAGCTCCGAAGAGATTTTAAACCCCGGGAACAAAAAATTGAAAGAAATATATAAGTACGTTTATCAGCAGTCTGGTTACCCAGGTTACAGGCTCTGCCTAGTTTTGGATCAGACAGCCGTGTGTGAAATGTATCAAATTATTATTATAATGACAATGGCAACAACGTAGATATCTGTTTTGCATAATCTTGTTGTATTAGTGAAACCCTTGCTCTTCACATTCACACGTAGGGAGGGAGGGGATCCTGTTAGCGCTATTTGTATCGGTTTATAAGTAGCAATGATCAAAGTGTCATGTTATTGGTATCCCAAGCGAAAGCTCTTTTCATCCTCCTTGACTACAATATCGAAGTGACTCCAACCTTGTGGCTCCAACATTTATCCTTTTTTAAAATAATTTATATTCCTTTCTTGCTTTTCTTGGTTATGATCAATGTTAATAACACAAGGCCTGCATGAAGAATTCACACTTGTTGTAACACTAAATACGATTTTAATCAACTGTATTTTTAATACTAATAAATTATTTACAGTGTGTCGGAATCTCGATGAATGATAATATTTGTCACGTTGTCCTATATAAAGGATAATGAGAGTAGATTAGTAAAGAACTGAACAACGTTAAGGTTTTGTAATTTAGTTTAAAGATTTGTATTTTATGCGAAATTTCCAAGTCATTTTTTTTTTAAGTTTATTATTACTACTATACGTCTACTATACTCTACGTTACATTAGCCTTGATAGTTTTTCTTCAAACTCTGTTTTATTAATAATGATCATTACTTTTTTCATGATTATTTATGTGAATAGTTTAGTTTTTGTGTGGGCTCCCCTAAACAAAAAATGAAACTTGGCGTTAGCAGTACTTGGTACTTCAAAACTCAATATCTATAAATCTGAACTGAAATAGTCTGGACATCCCCGAATGTGTAACCCCAATTTGTACTCCAATATTCCACACTATAAAATTGATTTACCAACGTAGTAAAGATATCCTTGGCTTTGAATTCGCGACAAATAAAATTGGGCTATTAGATTAGTTTATACTAACTAGATAAATATCAAGATTATTGACCACGTGAAAATCCACTTGTCCTTGTTACTTGTGAACAGGCCAAGTTTTTCTTATTGATTACATACATACCTTGCACGTACATCACTGTGTATTCGTACGCTAGTTTTTCAAGTAAAAGTTAAGCAAAAAAAAGGAATTACTATTTGTATTAATGTGCGAAAGTAAACGGATTAGGTACATTAAACAAGGAAATATTAAATTTTAAGACCCAACTACCGTGCAAAAAAAAATAGATACACACAATAAAGATATCATATACATGACAAAAAAAGACTGTGTTACTTGTGGTGATTTAAGGATTCTACCCATATCCCATACATCCAAATCTCTTCAGGCGTTTAGAAGTTATACACATACATACAATATACATTGCACAATAAGAGAATTACCATTGATACTATATCTATCTACCTTGTTTTATTAATTTTGTGTATTTTGTGACAATTTATGATAGTTACGCATGTTCTAATTACTGGTAGTATAACTGTTAGGTCAAATAACAAAACGTCAATATCTTCTAACATAATAAAATAACTAGGAATGTTACCAATACTTTCCTAGCTCAATTACCGGGTGCACTTTTAAATTAAAATAAAAAACTATTTGTTCATTAAAATTTGCCTATCAAGGACTAGTAGTTAATTTATAGGCATGATGTAATTACACTAAAAATTACTAGAAGTAACGAAACATGCGTGTGTTATTTTTAGTATAAAAGGATCCGTGACAGTGAATTAGGCATCAGTTGATCCGACTTCTTCAGTTCGACAAAACCACAGACCACAATGTTCAAGTTGGTGGTATTGCTTTCCGTGGCGGCGATGGCGGCGGCCAAGCCCGGCGTGGTGGCACCGGTGGTATACAGCTCCGTAGTACCTGCCTCCAGTTCAGTATCGGAATACAGCACCAGCATAGTTCACGGTTCACCTGCCCTATACAGAGCCCCAGCTGTTGTCAGCGCTCCCGTCGTTCTCAATGCCCCCGTGTACAGCGCCCGTGCTGTCGTACCTGCCGTAGCTGCTTTGTCGCAGGCTCCTTACCAGCCCGCCATCGTCTTGGACGCTGTAAATGGTGTGCCTCTCGATACACCTGAAGTAGTAGCCGCTCGTGCTGCCCACTACAGAGCCAAGGCCCTGGGACCTTTCCACCGCCTGCGCAAGCGTTCCATTGGCGTTGCACCATTGTCTTACGGCGCGGTCGTGTCTCCCATTTCTTACTCCAGGCCCTTGGTGTCCAACTACCCCGTAGGACCCGTGGCTCTTTCCGCTCCTTTAGGTTATTCTTCTGTATACCCCAGGGCCTACAGCTGGCACCCGTACTAAATAACAATTGCTTTTATATCGGATGTAACGAACCAATGACAATAAATATGTGTTTATTTTAATACAACCTAAATTTTATTTTGATTCCAAGTTCTTAAGTCACAATTATTGCTTCTGTAAAATAGCTGACAACAATTAATTTAAAGGAAATCTATATATTTACAAAAAAAAAAGAATTTTCAATATCGGATCGGATATATCACGGACTTAGGTGATATATATAAAAATACAGTCGAGGTGATATTTTTAAAAATACAGTCGAATTCAAAACCTCATCCTTTTGTAAAGTCGGTTAAAATAACGGTGTTAGTTATATTTTGAAGTAAAAATAATTCTAATTTTTAGTATTATCTAATTCTGATTCTATGGAATAGGATTTATTAGTCAATTTTAGATAATTGAGATCTGCCTAATACGTACTCGTAAATATGAATGTTTTGGTATCTCATAATGATCTTTATTTTTGTATAGGACTAATGTCTCTCCCACATCCACTACTGTAACTCTTAATCACCAGGATCAACGGCAGTGACCTACGAACACACCGAGTTGTGACACTCGGGTAGTCCCAGGAAAAGTTAAATTATCTTGTCACATATGATCTGTACCATCTGATATTACTCTATTAGACGCTCAACCGACAACCATTAGGGTAAATGAGTTCCTGAGGGGAGACCGCGTCTCAGCAAACGTAGTGTATTATACCCACAGGCCATGTTTACTGACGGTTTGCGTAAGACATGCCAACCATCTTACGCAAACCGTCAGTAAACATGGCCTGGCCTATAGCTGGATGCGAGAAGAAGAAAATCGATTGAAGTGGCGAGCAATAGCAGAGACCTTTGTCCAGCAGTGGACTGCGTATGCTGATGATGATGATGATGATCTGACACCACACTCTTATCATCTGACAGCCTACTCTAGCAGCTTACCCGCTCGTTTTTTCAAATACTACAGCACACGCTTCGCCGGATTCCTGATAAACTTTCGTAAATGTAACACAGTTTTTTTTTGTAATATATTTCTTTGTCTTTGTGTTTGACCAAAAGATTAAAAGAAAGCGAGAGGAATAAAGTTACACATTAAAAGTGAAGTTTTTTTAGAAACAATTATTTTAAAATAACATAATGCTTTCTGTTAAAAAAAAAAACAGAGTTTACGCAATTCCAGTAGTCTGACAATGACAATCGTAACAACCCATTACCATACATTTATCGTCTTTCCCAATTTTTTTTAGGAGTGTACCGGATAATTGTTTTGTTGTTTACTTTTCTTGGTCATGTTCCATGGTACAATCACAAGACTTGTGTAAAGAACTCATACTTTTTGTAACCACAACCTGCAATAAAGGAAACAGGAAAATCAAGTAGGTTTATTTTTTACAAGGCTTTATGTATTTGACAAGGTTGTTTTAATCTCGGGAACCATGAAATTTGTCACGTTGTGTTTCAAAATGGACTACGAGAGCAATGCTTCGGCACAAATCGACCCCCTCGACCGGTGTGATACCACGGCCCTAAATAAAACCGGTGTAAAAGGCTCGGTAAAAATGACGTAAAAATTGTTTTTACGTCCTTTTTCACTGAGCGAGTGGGTTACCGAAGCCCAAACCCTTCGTACTTGTGACTCTCTACTATATGCATGTATTATACATATAAACCTGCTTCTCAAGTTAACCTCTCTAATGGTGAAAACAGCCTTAAAATCTGTTGTCTATTTTGAAAGATATATGCTTAATAGAACAAAAAGCGACTTCACTTTATACTATGTAATGATGACGACATTGTAATAAGCCATACTCATTTTCCCTAGAAACTCTGTTAATCATGATTATTTTTTTCAGATTTTTCACATCGGATCAAAGAGAAAAATCTAATCTCCACGTTACGTGTATGGGAGATAATATTTCTTTTTATTTTAAATTTTCTATTATCATGATAATCAGACTCTATTCAGAAAAATTAACTTATAAATTAATTTATTCGAATTGACTCTTATTACCACAGAACTGTTCGGTACCTAAGGGTTTGTGATGATAAGAATTTGATTCGTGTTAGGTTGAAATTCTGGAGGTGAAATAAATCCAAAAAAGTGGATTCAATTTTAAAATGCTGCAACAATTAAAATAAAATAACAAACGTGACGCCTATTTTGCTATGCTAAGTATTATAATTATACTCATTGTAATAAATGATAATATAAATGTTTTAGCCATTGTCTCCTGACGTAACAAATTAACTAGCTATATTACCTTCGCTCACCTAGCTTGAATATCGGGTGGATTTTTTAAAATTAATAATTCTAGATATTCATCAAAATTTTGCTTTGAAGGACTAATATCAATTTATATGCATGATGTAATTACACAAAAAATTACTAGAAGTACAAAGACAAGCGTGTGTTGTTTTTAGTATAAAAGGATCCGTGACAGTGAATTAGGCATCAGTTGATACGACTTCTTCAGTTCAACAACAACACAGACCACAATGTTCAAATTGGTAGTATTGCTTTCCGTGGCAGCGATGGCGGCGGCCAAGCCCGGCGTGGTGGCACCGGTGGTATACAGCTCCGTGGTACCTGCCTCCAGCTCAATATCGGAATACAGCACCAGCGTTCTTCACGGCTCACCTGCCCTGTACAGAGCCCCAGTTGTTGTCAGCGCCCCCGTCGTTGTCAGTGCCCCTGCTGTGGTACCTGCCGTAGCTGCTCTGCCGCCTTCTCCTTACCTGGCCCTGAGAGGTGTCCACCACCTCGGCAAGCGCTCCATTGGAGTTGTACCATTGACGTACAATCCCTTGATATCCAACGTACGACCAGTAGCTCTTACCGCTCCTTTAGGTTACTCTTCTGTATACCCCAGGGCCTTAAGCTGGCACCCGTACTAAACAACAATCACTGTTATATTTGATGTAACAAACCAATGGCAATAAATAACTGGCAATAAATGATGGCAATAATAATAAGTCTCCCATTTCTTCCTCCAGTCCCTTGGTATCCAACTACCCCGTAGGAGCAGTGGCTCTTTACTCTTCTGTATACCCCAGGGCCTACAGCTGGCACCCGTCCTAAACCACAATTACTGTTATATCTGATGTAAAGAACCAATGGCAATTAATAAATGTTTATTTTAATAGTCTGACAATGACAATCGTAACAACCCATTACCATACATTTATCGTCTTTCCCAATTTTTTTTAAGAGTGTACCGGATAATTGTTTTGTTGTTTACTTTTCTTGGTCATGTTCCATGATACAATCACAAGACTTGTGTAAAGAACTCATACTTTTTGTAACAACAACCTGCAATAAATGAAATAGGAAAATCAAGTAGGTTTTTAAAACTCGTAGATTCTAAACAAGGCTTTATGTATTTGACAAGGTTGTTTTAATCTCGGGAACGATCAACCCCCTCGACCGGTGTGATACCACGGCCCCAAAGAAAACAGTTTTGAAGCCCAAACCCTTCGTACTTGTGACTCTCTACTATTATATATTATACATATGAATCTGCCTCTCGAATAACTCTCTCTAGTAGTGAAAACAGCTTTAAAAACTGTTGCGCAGTTTGAAAGATCTAAGCGTACAAGAACAAAAAGCGACTTCACTTTATACTATGTAATGATAACGACATTGTAACTAAGCCATACTCATTTCAATTGAAACTCTGTTAACCATGATTCATTTTTTCATGTCAACAGTGTTTTATAAATTTTGTGTGGGGGACTCAATTTAAAAAAAAATTGTTACTTCATATCTTCAAAAATTTGATGAAGTATCAGTTCAGAGTCAGTGATCAAATCTTCCTCCATATCTATTAAATGTTATTCAGAAAACCAATCCAAAGATATCCCACACTATCGGATCAAAAAGAATAAAACTAATCTCCACTTTACGTGTATGGGAGACAATATTTATTTTTATTTTAAATTTTCTATTATCATGATAAAATTTACTTATAAGTTATTTTTTTGAATCGACTCTGTTTATCATGATAATAGAAAATCTGATTTGATGGCTGATGAGGCGGCTAAGGTAGGCAAAATTTCAAAGAAGCTTCCTTCTTCTTATGGTTCGCTTATTTGGGTCTCATATAAAATGCCTACAAGTACCTAACTAAGCGTTTTTTTCCGTTTGATTCTGATTTACCACAGAACTGTTCGGTAAAGGTGATAAGAATTTGATCTGTGTTAGGTTGAAATTCTAGAGATAAAATAAATCCAAAATAAGTGGATTCAATTTTAAAATGTTGCACGTATTAAAATAAAATCTATTTTAATTTGAAAAATGAATAATTTGGTCTAATACTTTCCTTTTTACATTTACTTAATGAAAATGCACAACCATAATACTAAATCCATCATTTGTAGTTTGACGGGCTACCATTGCGCCGGCGTAAAGGCAATAAAAGCAACAGGAACGGATGTAAATGAAAGTATTATGTTAAAAATAATAAGGACCTTAAGAGATCAAATATTTTGGGTAAACAAACTGTTATATTAAATATTAATATGGTTTTAACTGTAAAAGGATTGAAAAAATAAAATTAGTTGTTTTTAAAACTTTATTTATGTACAAGCCATGTTAATCTTAGCTTGATCCCTCTAATAATTATTACCACGCGTGTACACCGTAAGCTTTGTTGATAAGTGGAGATGATAGAGAAATAGGAACTGTGTACGAATAAGGAGCAGCGTGGTAGGTAGAGATCCAAGGAATAGCAGCGTAGGAAGTGGCTAAAGGAGCGGCGGCCAGCTGAACTGAACGTTTCTTGATTAGATGGGCTTTAGCTAGTGCCTTAGCTTCAAAATGGGCCGCGCGTGCAGAAAGAACTTCAGGAGTGTCCAGGGGAACATCAGATGCAGCAATAGTTTCGGTAGCAAAAGCAAGACTTGCGATAGCAGCGCTCTTCGAGATGGCAGGAGCTATATAACCAGTTTTCATGACAGCAGGTGCAATGGCATCACTGAGAAGAGGTGAGCTGAAGGCCAATGCAGGCGCGCTGTAGGTGACAGGTGTTGACACGACGGTGCTGGTAATGGCAGGGCTTGACTTGATGTCGATGCGAGATTGGCTGGACACAGCTGCGTCAGCGAAAGCGGCGGTGGTAATAGCAGGAGCAGCGAGCAATGTTGGTGCGGCGACAACGGTGGTGGTTACTGCCGGTGATGACTTGATGTCAAGTCGGGACTGGTGAGATACAGCTGCGGGTGCAGAGCCGATGATCGGTGCAGAGTAGGCGAGAAGTCCACCGTGGAACTGTATGCCAGAAGGCATAGCCACGGCGAGCGCTACCACAGATAAGAACACCACCAGCGAATTCATCGTGGTCTGTGTTAGTTCAGATGCGAACGACGAGAGAACAAGATGAAACTGATGCTTTCTTTTAACAGTCGTAGGATTTTATACTTCTCACAATGTTCTAAAGCGAAAGTCAAGTTCGACGAGTTTTTAATGTAATCGAACTTTATTACATATTGCGATGATTTGTCAATTAAAATAACATACGAGTATTATACTCAAATGAAGCCATTGTTGTGCCTGTATAGGATTTAAGATTTTATTTCAATCATAATTATTTATATAGCAAGTTATTTATTTGATTTAACTTATTCAAACTTAAAAATGGAGTTTGAAATAAAGTGCTTTAAGGAAATGTTAATAATGTTTTTTTTATTTTTACACTCCTCTATAAAAACACAAAACAATGTTTTTTCTATAAATTTCGAGACTTTAATCGGTAATTCAAACTAGGCGTTGAACGTGGTGTCGGACGTCGGTGTTACTCTTATATTTTTACATCTTAATTTATACAGAACTTACATTGAACCATGGCTGCACGAATGGCGTAGTAGTTAAAGCGGTCAACTCTCGGTTTCCCACTGCGTTGAGTGTTGTGGTTTCGATTCCCATACGCGACAACTCTTTGTGTTATCTTTAAACTGTTGTTTTGAGTCTGAGTGTTCTTTGTATCTGTTTTATGAATGTTTGTAAAGTCCACGACATAGGCTATGTTACTACTGCGCGAGTTGTTTTTACAAAACAAAAAATATTCTGCAAAAACACCAACCAGCATCCTGTATCGATAACGTCTCTTGCTAGTGTATACATCAATGACAATTAATAGATGGAAGACAACAAGTGGTCTAAATAAATCGAAAGCTAAATAATTAATGATTAAATGTTACAGCAAATAATAGGCGTCGATGTCTTGTCTACATATGTAGAAGATGACAAAATATGTGGTTCGCTTTAAGTTTAAAGAATTGATTCTCCAAAAGACAAAAAGCCACTTACATAAGAATACTAAATAACATATTGTGATATTTATTATTCTAATGGTCATAATGGTCTTAGGGTAATAGTAGGCCAAAACCTCCTTTCTATGGAGAGCCTATGTCCAGCAGTGGACTATTACAGGCTGTTGATGATGATGATGGTGAATGGTCACGGAAACAGTGTTAGGTATTAATAGCTTGAAATTTATGTTATGGTTACACGTTCAGCGATTTCACATCCAGCCAATACCATAATAGGTTAAACTAATTACTGAGAGTAATTTTCTAATATATGAATGGAAACACGTGATTTGAAAACGATAATCGAGCTTACATTTTTAATTTCAGACGGCAATTTGTTATACAGTTGTGCTCCTCCGTAGGTAATGTTTTTCTTTGTGTAGTTAGTACGTGTTTTTTGGTAATACAAGTAAACTTGGACGACGAAGACTACGCTTGCTGACAAGAGATTTTTTTATAATTGTAACAACATTAGATTGGATAGTTTCATCTATAAATTGGTTTGTATAGTGCGAGTATGTAATTTGTAATCATTTATGATTGTGTACAAACATTATGAGTCGTAGCACAAAATAATGTTGTAAACATTAAATGTACATTCTACTTAATATTTACGAAATTTGTGTTAGAAACAGTATCAGATTTAGTCATTGAATTAATCGAGATCTCTTTGAATAGGGTAGATGACTGTTAAGTCAAATCAGTGTCTTTTTTTAAACGTCAAAACGCTGGACGCGGTACATTTTTGTATGAGATACTATTTCGTGACGTCATACCTATTTATTGTCAAATCATTTATATTTAACGTTGATTTCAAGATATCAAATGAATAAAAAAAACAAATTGACAATGGAGGACAATTCAGCCTCTACTTTGAGATGTTAGATTTAATGATACAGGCGAAATAATTTATTTTAAACCTAGGAATCTACCCTATTATTGGACAGTTTAATTAAGCAATTAAAAGCAGATTACTTTTTTACTAAGATTCAAGAATTTTTTTAGTGCACTGGTTATTTTAGCAATTAATTGTCTTCAATTTAAGACAGAACAACAAAAACAACATAGGTAAGAAAACAAAACTGGTTAAAATATTTCATTAGTATGTTAGGCGAAATCTTTACCAATTGAAAACCGCTAATAGTTTTCCCATTGTGAAAATTTTATAAATTATGATTTTTATATTTTGTTTGTTTAAGTGGTCTAACTTCCTTGTAAAGGTGTAGGTCGTACATGCTTCTTATGTTCATCTAGCCAGTAGCAGGATCCACTATCAATATAACTTTACTTCTTACCAGCATCTGCTCGCAGTTTCGGTTGCGTTTATGGTCATTTTGATAGTCAATTAAGGAGTCATTTCTCGAACAGTACTATTTTTCTGCATTATCGTGTAATTTTAAATGTATGTACGTTTTATAAATAGTAGGTGTCACGTGTAGTCTTTTCAATGACGTTTGTAATCAATTTTTTTAGCTTTACTTATAACAGTATTCTTTCTAGTTAGTTTCACCTTTTCTTTTAGTGTAAAGTACATACATACACACGGATTTCCGCCCAGACTGTGACCGCAGGTAGACGGGACTTATTTTTTCTCCTCCACCTGCTATAGTGGCCACCTAGGAGGGGGCAATGTCTGCGCCTGCCTCGCCTGAATAATGCACACGTTTTTTGCGGGCAAACGTTGGAACGTGTCCGGATGTCTTAATAAAAGCTGTCTTATGTCTTAGCTGTTTCAGGATCCTTCCTATTTTAGGCGCAGTGTGGTACTACATGTAGTTGTAATCGGTTTGATTTCGAAACACCGCCTCACCGAAAACCCCGGTTGAGTGACGGCCAGGGAGAATTTCCAGACGCACAAAAAAATTCTGAGTGGATGCAGTATTTAAAACATTACTTACTGTGATTTTATTGAACTGTAATACGTTAAATTATATTACTTTTAAGTTTATATAGATAATGTAGCAAGATTTTGAGTTTGCCCAGCGAGCTGCACTTCATTAATATATAACCGTTAATTGTCATTTGATACCTTCACATATTTCTGAGAAACGAAAATATTCTGTAGGGCCAACAACGAAGTGATTCAAGAAAGTAATTTTGGTACTTCGTGTACCTTAGCGCGCGTTACATGCTCTGAGCGGATGGGAGCGATACCGAAAAATGTATAACCAGACTTTTTGCCGACTCTTCAGGTGGCGCGTCGACGCTTACATCTTTTACTCATTTCATATTTAGCGAACGTCTACCAAAAAGCTAAAGGAATTTCGTTCCGACCGGGGGTCCATGGACCCCTCATTCCGTTTTATTTCTTCTTTTGGAGAAATTTGATCTTGCGTCTATTTGTGAATTCAGTTAATGATTACAACATTTATCACTTTAAGGCTAAATGCTCCTAATTAAAAAAACAAATAAACATCAAACACACTACATGTGCCATTAATTTCTAAGGGGTATCAGATTCAGCCCTTGCGGCTCTGTATCAGTGGCACAAGGAGGCGCGGGAGTTGGGTCGGAGTCCTGAGACTCGAGAAATCGATGACCGGAAATCCAAACTCCGCCGGGTACTCGTAGGGGAGAGGAAGGAACGACTTGGGCAACCGAGCGCCGGGCACGCCGTCATCGCGGCGGTAAGACCCGTAATGGAGGATTGGCTCGAGAGGCATCACGGGGCCCACTCATACCGACTGACGCAGGTGATCGCTGGGAAAGGATGTTTCGGGGATCACCTGTGTCTGATCCGCAAGAAGCCAAGACCTGAGTGCCATCACGGCTCTCCACACGTTGGCAGAATGCCCGGCGTGGGTGGAGCAGAGGCGAGACCTCGTGGCGGCCAACGGAGTGGGAGTTCTCTTGCTTGATAACTTGATTGCGGCTTTTGTGCGGAGCGAGAGTGCGATGAACTCTGCCATCTCCTTCTGCGAACAAGATATGCTTGCGAAGGAGATGGCGGAGCGGAACCAGGAGAGGTTTAGAACGACTCAGGCGCCGAAGGTCACAGAACGACCTCCGTCCCCCATAAGCGCAGGCCTGGGGGTGACAGGTGAGGCCATCTGTCACCCTAGCAGAAGCAGGCCGGGTGGGCGGCGAGCGCGTTGCGAAGCGCGCGCGCCCTACCGGGAGCACAGAGGGAGCATGGAGGTTCCCACACAGGGGGGTCGTCTACCCGCCGTAGATGGCCCGAGGTACGTCAGGGTACCAGGGATTTCCTTTCTAGGGTACACCTGTTTCCCCGACTGCTGTTACCTGAGACGTCGTGCGGTTTTAGTCGGTTCGAGTCCGACATTGCCACCGATAAAAAAAAAAGGTGAACATAAAACCTCATAGTTGGTTAAAAAATGTATAAACTATGTTGAAAAAGTCGAATGTTTGATGCTCCCGGTTTGAAGCTTTACTTATTAAAATACCCTAATTTCATCTTGAGCGTTATTTTTTCAATGTGAACTCAATTTGCTGACTTAAGTTATAAATAAACTATCGATAACTTATTGTTACAGTAAAACTAAAGTATTAAAATCAAAGAATTGAAATATACGTAATTTGTTTTATTTATGAGCAAGCCATATTTAAGGTTCGTCGATCATCAAATCTGAACCGAGGAAACAAGTCTCCGACATCATGGTGACGCTCAATATGGGTGCCAACTGTACGCCTTAGTGAGAAAAGGGGTGGATAAGGCAATAGGACCTGAGTAGGAGGTCACAAGAGGACCGGTGGCGTAGGTTGCTGCAATAGGGGTGCTCCAGGAGTGTGACAGAAGAGGAGCGGAACGCTTCTTGATCAGGTGAGCACCAATCAGAGGCACAGGTGCAACAAAGGATGGACTGGTTATGGCGGCGCTCTTCAAAATAGCTGGAGCCACAATACCGGTGTTTATGATAGCGGGGGCACTATTGAGAAGAGGTGAGCTATAGGCCAGTGCAGGCGCACTGTGCACGACAGGTGTTGACACGACGGTGCTGGTAATTGCAGGGCTTGATTTGATGTCGATGCGAGATTGACTGGACACAGCTGCGGGAGCGATAGCGGCGGTAGCAATGGCAGGAGCCGCAAGCAATGTTGGTGCGGCGACGATGGTTCTAGTGATGGGCGCGACAGCAGCGGTGGTAATTACAGCTGGTGAAGATTTGATGTCAAGTCGGGATTGATGTGATACAGCTGCGGGTGCAGAGGCGACGATCGGTGCAGAGTAGGCGAGAAGTCCACCGTCAAGCTGTAAACCAGAAGGCATAGCCGCGGCGAGCGCTACCACAGATAAGAACACCACCATCGAATTCATCGTGGTCTGTGTTAGTTCAGATGCGAATGATGAAGGAACGAGATGAAACTGATGCTTTCTTTTAGTCAACGTTTGTTTTTATACCGTGCGCAATGTTTTAAAATAAAAGTCAAGTTCAACGAGTTCGGTTCGGAAGCGCATTTGCAATAAGTAAACTTTATTACATTATACATTTGCTCGGAGTATTGTCTATACCTACTATATTATTTATAAATTGTTCTTGGATTGGTTAAAATTCTAATGTGTCCACTTTCTGTTAAAATTTTAAGCTCAGATAAAAAAAAGGGAGGTGTTATTACTTTCGTTTCAGCCTTATTAGAAAAATGAATTTGAGTTCGAAACCATTGTGTTAAGGTTAGAAATGTTTTTTGGCGATTGTCTTGTATGCCTCTTTCTATGTATGATGACTTTTTTGATGCGTAAGTGCAAATGACTGCGTCGTAGATTCTGGATCTGGGTGTTTTAGCTTTCGCTTTAGCTAAGCTTAAAGCTTAGCTTAAGCTAGAAAATTTTGTCTAATCGAAAATGCATGATTATTTTTACTGATTTTATCTTTACTATTAAGGAAATTCAGAAATATCACATATTTTCTTGTGTGTTAACTTGTTTGAGAACAAGGATATTATTATTATTCCTCTCTTTTGAGATGAAATTTAATTTATTAATTTACATACACGGTCAAAAACATCTGTCTTCGTAAATTATGTATTCTTTCATTTAATTTTTTGTATTTTATGTTTTTATTTTATAAAAAAGAAACTGTCAACTAACGTAGCGTACGTAACGTAAAAAACATGAAATTTGAACTAAATAATTGTTTAAATAGCCGAATATTTTTATTAAAATCCATAAACCGCACTTCAGCGTGTGAACTACTTAAATTACGTACTCCACAGAGCGTGTCAATAGTAGATTTTCCATCTCTTAGTAGGTATATATTATATCATGAGCTAGATTATAGTCCACTTAATTACACTAAGAAGAAATTCGATTTGGTCGCATTCTTCAAATCAAACATCCCAAGAGTTGATAAATGGATGAACATGTTTCATCAACAGCCTTTACTAGTCCACTGGTTTTGGCCTCTTAGGCCCCAGGCCTACTTCTACTAAACCCACTACTGCCATGATCAAATTCTGATCTTGATCTTGATTTTGATCAGGCTTGACGATCATGAATTAGTTGTTTTCATAAATGGTAAAATGGATTCACAGGTAACCTTTAAATGTCAAGTAGTTAAGGGATAAAAATAGTATCGTTAATGGTAACACGATGTGTAATAATTATCGCAAATAATACTGGGCGTGTGTCTCGTATACAGTCCGAGTTTACTTTTTACGACAGTGTCCGACAAACAAAATATTAAGACTCGCTCGACCTTGAAAACTTTCATACTTATTCTGACCAACGGGCGTAGGCTTTTTTGTATGTATTTAGAGATGTTGTACACACTAAATTAATATTAAGTTTAAAAATAGTAGTTTTAATAGTAGTTTATTCACTTCAAGTTTACAACGTATAAAAAAATTTAGTACTTTTAACACACGAAGTTAAAGATTTTCGGATGCTTTAATGACTGTAAAATGCATTATGACAAGTGTTTCGAGAACTTTTTTGTTAATAAAAACTCATATAAATGTCTTTTTTAAGTTGTCAAAAGATTTTTGTCCAATAACTATATTTAAATTTTATTTGAGACTTTTCTCTTTCCTAAGTGTTAATAAAATAGAAGTGTCACTTTTCGGTAAATAATAATTGCCTAATATTTTATTATATTTGGAATAACAAACCCACTTAATATTTTATAAGCACAGTAATAACAGCTCTCCTAAAATATGTATCAAGGGTGTTAATAATATGACATTACACCCGCCGTGGCATGCGGAATCTGATCCATACATGGAAACCCATCTTACTTACTGCTCCAGTCTTACAGGTATAATAAAAACCCTACAGCATCGGTCTTCTAAAGAGTCAAATAAGGACGTATCTACATTTGTTATATCTTCAGAGTCCCGGAATATAATATGCTAATAAAACGAAAGTATATGATCTATTGTGAACAAGACATGTACATTTCGTAGTTATGTCATTAAAGCCATACTGTACTTCCAGATAGTAAAATGTTAAAAATGAAAAATTTAATCGTTTTTGAAATTATTTTTCATTGACCATCAGTTGATATTTTTTTAATTTTTTTACGACTTGTAGAATGAGCATTCGAATCTTATTACTATACGATTATTACTATACGACATATGAAAACCTAAATTACTCATGTATCGTCTTGCTCGGATAGTGATTAAGCAGTCAGTTGTAGATGAACCATTACACTCGTCAAAAATACATGGCAAACTATTTTAAAGTAATTATACCGATTTATTCTCCGTACGTGAACACTTATGAGATTAACTGGTCTGAAAATGTTGCCTACAGTTAGTTTATCCTAAACAATAACAAGGTGAACATGTATGTTAGGTAGTAGTATTCATTACATTTCAATTTTAGTATATAAAAATGAGAAGAATGAAAATGAAATACTCATTTTAAATTGCATGATCATTATGGAAATGTGATATGAAAAAAAGAATAAAATATTAAAAAGATAAGGAAGGAAGAGATACGTTGGTCATATAACGTCCTAGGTATTTTAACTGTGCGCAAAAGTGAATCCTGTTAAAAGTTAAAGATTAAACTATCGTGCACGATTCACATTCATAAATATCGTGATAATTTTGATACATAAATACTATTCCAATTCTTAGTTATCAGTTTAAACAATACTTTATTTAAAATAGTAGAGATCAGTCTACCTGTGTACCTGTTTGATCTGGGGCAGATAAACATTCTGTTTGGTTTAAGAGTATTTGATAATAAACTTACATACTCAACAACAGCACCATAAAGAGAAGGAAAACTTGGCACAAACCCTATATAAACCCGTCCTGCCAGCGTGGTATAAGTAGATAAATCCTCCCCTCTAAGGAGAGGCCTATGTCCAGCAGTGGACTATTAACGGCGGTTGATGTGATACTCGATTTATAATTTATAGTGTGTCTCGTGTTTCTTTTAAATTCTTGTTTAAGGGTTTTATTTATAATTGAAATACAAGCTTAAACAAAGAGGATAATTTTATTATTTTTAAAATCCAGAGAACATCCTTCCAACTCTTTTAAGTTAGATTTTTGAATCATTGCGAATTATCTTATCTCTATCAATAAATAAAAAATAGTCGTTGACTGTTGCACTATCCGGGGCGGCCCAGTGTTTTGGCCTGGCGCGTGTGGCCTGGATGTTGGCGGCCTTGAGCTTGTTGCTTACCAGGCGTGGGCGTATGCGGGGGCAGCGACGATAGGAGCGTGAGCAGTGACAATAGGAGCGTGGGCAGCAACAATTGGAGCGTGCGCAGCTACTACAGTAGGACTCGAGAGCTGGAAATTTATTCATAAGGCTTAAAATAATTTTTTTCTTCTATGTATTATATTACACGTCTGTAGTACACACAAAATACTTTTTATAATTAAAAATATTTTCATGACTAGCACCTATTATTAGTAGACATAAGGATTATCTTTTCTTATCTTCTTTTAATCTTATTATTAACGCTTTATACATTACAAATATACAATGATGGATTTAATGGCATATATAATATTTAAAATGTTACTTTTTATTATTTAATGAATATTTCATTTAATTTGATAAATTTAATGTTTTACATCTGATATCCCAAACAAACTTCAATGTTACAATCAAAACTGGTTATCTTATTGGTTAGATTATAAAACTATTGTCTGAGTAAGTATATTAATACAATAGTGTTAACCTTTTTTAAAGACATCAACGCGTACGCGAGATGACAATTTTGCATTGTTTTCAACTAGCTTTAGTAAAGCTTAAGCTTTAATTAAGTAACTATTAGACTATTTTTTAACAAGAACAGCACAACTGGACACAATCTGACCTAGTACAAGCTAGGTCAGATTGTGTCCAGTTGTGGTGTTATCATATCGGGTCTTCACTGTCACTGTCACCGGGTCACTCAATTTCATAAGAAATAGAGTGTGGATGTGCGTGAGCAAAGTGGGTTTCCCTCTTTTTACTTAATGCCCCGCAGGGCGACGCGATGTCCGTGTTTTTATGGAGAAATAATTTACGCGCGTTTGCGGCAAACACTATTATAAAACACACGCCCCGAAGGCACATCTCGTTGGTGGTGTTGAACCGGGGGGGTTTCTACATGCAGATTAAAAGGCTAGAATACTGGGTTACCTACTATTCACTGGACAATCTTTTATAAATTATTACTATAAATACCATGTAATTCTCCTTACCCGAACAGAGTTAGAGTAAGAAGTAGCGACGGGTAAGGCGGTCTTGACAACGCCAGTGCTGATCAAAGGAGCGGAGACTATGCCGTGTCCATATGCGTACGGCGCGGCAAAAGGGGCACCGATGAAGCCAGGAGCAGCAGCGGCGACGGCCAAGAGCGCGGTGAATACAACCTTTTAAATTTCATGAAGTGTATATTAGTACCTACTATTGTATTATACGTATTATATTATACCATTATTTCTAAGTGGATATAGTCGTAATGGTCAGTAGATATAATGGATGATGGATGGTAGTAGTCATAGCTATTTCTGCGGTAGAAGAATCATGCTTTGTCACACACGTACGGGCCAGCTCGACCGAATTGATATCGAGGCCGTACAGAAAATATATGTTCAGCAATTCTTTCATTGTTTTAACTGACTGTGTGACGTTACTGGGCGCCCAATCCTCCTCCTACAGGCAGGTGTTCATGGGCGGCGGTGGTCAAATGACTTCATCAGGTGATTTAGCTGGTCGTTGCTCCAATACCATAAAGAAATAGATAATGTTATTTTAAGACTTCCTCAGTCAATCAATTATGATGACTTATTTATGACCATGATACCATAAATACATTAAGCTTCTATAGTAACCCACTAAAAAGATTGACAATATTATGTTGATATAATATACATATAATACTAACGGCACAAATCAGATGTATAATACGTAAAACCTATACCGTGACTATTTAAAAAATTACATTATAAATAAGAAATCAATATAACATATTTGTAAGAGGTGATTCCAACAATTTTACATATAATGAGAGTTTTCTGAAATGTTCCACGTGAGATGGCGGCACTGTAGCGTCAGGTCCAACCACCTGTCAAAACACATACATGATTTGTATTTTTCGATCATTTTTTTCGGTTTATTCATTCTTAAAACCGTTACAAAAGAAATATTGTTTTCTAAAATGCCACAGTGTTGTGCAGTGCCTCTGTGTGTAAATAAAAGTTTTGCGCCTCTCTTTTTGAGCTCAATCTTCAGCTCGGCAACCTTTCTCTGGTCGTAATCCATAATAAACTCAATAACTCTTCCAAATACATAGAATTTCACTAAAAATTATACGTTCAGTAAGAATCTGTGCTATCTGACAGCTGTTTGGACCTGACGCAAACGAAGCGCCGTCTGGTGGCAGAAAAAGTATCGAAAACCCTCATTGGCGCCACACACACGTATCATAATTTCGTCCTTTATTTCAGTCGTGCTTTATATTAAAATGTTACACAATAAGTCACTAATTAGTCATTAAATACCAATTGTACGCAAAACACCACTAACTAATTATAATATCGTTATTGTTTCCTTACAGTAGTCATTGCCAGACAACTGACAAAATGACATGCGACAGATAACCAAATAATCCTTAGATTTGATAACTTTAAATAATAAAGAAGCCCTTTCTGATTATAGACTAAAGTCACGTTGCTAAACACGCTGTATCAACTCCTAGTAAGCTATTGTATTCTTACAGAAAGGGAATCACAACAATCACAAATGTATACGGATAAAGGATTTACATTGGAAGCATCTTATGTAAGCTATTTATGATCTTGGATTGTTCAGTGTGAATAGGTCACCCATTTCATTCAACATTCAATTCATATTTAGGCTTGAGAAGTATAAATGTAATTAGCATTTGATTTTTGTTGTTGTATTGTACTTATACACAGTTTTATTAGTAGTATGGAGGATAGAGGCAAGGAGTTGACAAAGTCCCCAGCTGTATACTGAAAATAGGGGTCGCAGGCGTACGAAAAACTACGATATGAACATAGCTGTTGTAGACAAAGTGTGCTGAGATAAAATATTATAATACTTTTACTGTCTGAAAGTTATAACACGTTTATTTATTGTCTGTAAAACTCATTAACTATTTTCGCAGTCTAGAACACAATGTCTAATTATTATTTAAGTTTATATATTAAAAAAAAATATCCTTATACTACTGTAGCGCCCCAAATGTAACGTCTTCAAAACTTAAGGTGTTATAAATTATCTATATCAAAGCTAAGGCGCTCAATAATTATATTTTGCTATAGCCGCTCGATTTTTTACATCTATTAACTGGTACCATAATAACTTGAAGTTGACAGGAAGCAATTTAAACAATTATCGGTCCGTGTTCGATTTTATAAGGAGATAAACTGTTATTACATAATCATGCGTTTTTGTCTAATCTGTATACTTTTTACATTATCTACGAAAAGAACTGTCTGGTAGACTAGGTTACTGATCCTGACTATTGAGTCATAGGTCGTGGGTTCAATTCCCACCCAGATCAAATAATTTTTTGATGGACGATAAAATTGATTTACATTTTTCATGTAATTTTTGAAACTGCGTGTTATTCTAATAATGTTTTGTTTTAGCGATATATGCAATGAGCATTTTTTACGCTACTCTTTAATTCATAGATTCATTCATACCACTTCCAAAAAATAACGATAGAAAACATGAATTTAAAATTGTGTTAACGCACAACATATTTCAGTTTTCATTATGTATGATAATGAAACTGTGCAAAGCAAACTGTATAATAGGAATTTTATTATATTATAGTTACCTGTAACGTGTTTATATTAACAGCTGTTCTAAATTAATATTTATTGCGACCGTCTATACTTTAGTAAGGTTTGTACCATGTCACTTGATTGAATGGATACCACGAATATCTTTGTACGATACAGTTCAATTTGGTTTGGATGTGTTTGGTTGGTATTTTTGGACATTACATTACATTTAACTCAACTTCAACATAGTTGAGAGTTATAATTATTAAGTAATTAGGTCGATAATGTTACTTAAAATATTCAACACAAGCTGAAAAGTTGTGGAAAGAAATTGAATATTATTATCTAATCTTACTTTACTTGTAGCATACAGTGTGCTGAAATAAGATAAGAATCTAGAATGTTCTATTATTTATTTGTTTAGTTAGTTGTTAACCAAACGAATATAATACACAATATAATAAACAAATAATATAATAACTAGCTGGTTTCAGAATTTACCTTTGACATACAATTCAGGTATCAATCTAGGAAAGACATATATCAAAATAGGAATAGTATTTATATGGTATTTTTTTTATTATTTATGTTGGTATGGTATGCCCATATATTTATTTTTTGACCTTAGAATATATATATATATGCAATATTTTATGACGCTTTCAGTTGTTAAAACACCGAAGCGAAACAATCAAACTCACTTTCAAACAATTTAAGATTTATTGAAGACTGTTAATTCATTATTAATAAAAATATTTATTTTTATTACTCGACTTTTTAATTTAATTTATCATATAAAATTGTGAGTAATGCTACCAAGATAATTAATTATTAAAAATGAGAGTGCTTTTAATATATTCTGGTCTGTTAATCTGTATTCGTAGTGGTAACGAATATTATTTACACATTAGCGCAAACATATTTATTTATTATAAGATTTATATTTCAGTAGGTTAAGTCCTCATTAAAATGCCAATTCAACTCGCCTCTGAGGCTCTGACTATTATTAAGGTGGGCTATTTACTCTGATTTATTCGATAAGTAAAAAGCGTAACCGATCTAGTACCGGGTGGCAACTGCCAACCGGTTCGACCTCGGTGGGTCGTTGCCGCTGAAGAGAATGTAACTCAAGCAAAAAGTTAACTGAAAATAAATGTATAGGAACTATGATTCACTTAATTGAATATAATGAACAATGTATCATGACCATCAATATTTTATATTGTCTTTCTTATCTTGAAATTTAGGTTAATGATAAATAAAATTGTCATTTTTATAAAGGTTGGCTAAAGTTGAATAAAACTAACAGGGACATCTAGGTTTTCAAGTAATTTGCTCATTATAGTTTTGTAGGCATTTAATTTTTAACAACTGAGGTTCGCCAGGCGCGGCGGTGGCAATCCTTGTTTGAATGTCTCGTTTCTTTCATTGACCAGAATAACTTGAGTTGTCATTGTATAGATTTGTACTAAGAGCGATCAGAATGTATTTTGGTCTCTTATAGTATAAATAGTTAATAATATTGTTACTATAAACTTCTTGAAAAATTTATAAGTAGGCGAAAACCTCAAACCTCTGAGGATCTCCTTAGAAATCCGACTGGATAGTCGGATTTTAATAGTCCAGCAATGCACTATTAAAGGCTGTTGATGATAATTTTTTTGGATATATTTATTGAATTGTAAATAAATATATATTTTTTTAAATATATTTGGCAATAAAACTCTAAGATTAATTATACATTATTTCTCGTATCGTAACTATTTTAAGAAAAGTTTTGAAGTTACTTAAGTTTTAAGTGTATACAATTTCTCTACAATATATTAACCTTTTTCTGCATAAGTTGCCCTAGTTTCACAAGAATACTAATACCACATACTACATACTAATTTCCAATTGATCTTATTGTGTCAAATTATTTCAGGAATAATTTGTTGAGGACTGTTATGTTAGGATTGATACGAATACTTAAAGGAGCGGACACTATATGGCAAACTCGGATTAAATGATACATACAACGTTTATTGTTATTTTGAGAGTTATATTAAAAATAAAAAATCTAAATACGTTAAGCCAGTTATGTCATTTCTGCTAATACTATGTTTTGAAACTTACCAGTTTGAACATTTTGAGGGATGGATTGGGGTGTCTCGTAGTAAGCGAAGAAGGTGGATGTAGGAACGAATGTGGCTAAGGACCTTTTTGTGTGCCTTTTATACCTCATAGACACATGTCTCTACGAAATCTGTCTAACCATACGTATAGCCTATGCCTAGGTCATACATATCCTACGTATCTAAGGTACAGACAACAAAAGAAGCTAAAGGAAGTTTGAAATATTATTTTTCGACCAAATCGGTCGTAATCATTCGATCGAGCTAATAGAGAGTTCTGTGAATGAAATAAGCTATTTACAGATCTTAATTCTTATAAGTATTTTAAAGTTCCGAACAGTTCTGACGTTAAAAATTAGCGACGTTAAAAATATATTTTATTTTTCCTTTTTTGTTACTGATACATAACACTCAATACAAATAGATTACTAGTAATTAAATTAGTCTTAATAGTTTTAAAGATTTTATAATGAACGAGTATATATATTTCCTCTTAAAATTACCAGATTGTTCTTAATACAGACATTCCAGTTTTACTTATTTCAGAAGACTAAATATTTGGTTATAATCGTGTAAGTTAACACAAGCTAGTAAGAAGAGACAAAGGACTTTAATTTTCTGTAAATTAATATTACTAATGCTATTTATATTATCATGTGGTATGATAATCTTACCAATATCTACGAACATACTCATCATCAACAGTATACCACTTTCCTAAAGACTATTATAAATAATATATATTTGCGTCTCCAACCGTACTCCAAACACTTAGCTGTACACTTAGGTATATTTTTAATACTGAACACACATAATGTACATTGAGGGCAGAAAATGGTCTTGATACTGGATAAAATAAATTTCAAAGTCGTAAAAGATATTTCTTCTTCTTTCTTTCTTTTTAAAAAAGACAACTCCCGCATTAGGAATAAATCCTGTGTCGCGGGGGACTTTACTTTACAAACATACATGACATATGTTCGGACTAGGTTAATATTTCAATGTTTTGTAAACGTTATAATCTTCTTAGCTTTCAATGGATTAACCGTGCGGGTACTAGGTCCATCGCGTGATAGATAGGAGCAACAGATGCAACTGCGATAGCGCCTGGGGCTTCTGACCCAGAAGTACGTTTAGGGATGCGTCAGCGCTCACTTCCACTGTCCGTTGTGTTACCACCTCTACCTAAACATATTTAATATGAACTTAACAATACCGCTTTGAATATTCATTCTAGAAAAGAGAATGAAGTTCCTGGCTATTCATAATTTTATTATTACTCGTAGTAAGAGGCTAAATAACAGAAATAATATTTGTAAATAAATCTTATATGACAATGATAAAACAATTTTCAACTTGTCCTAGTGGCCCCTGCAAGAGCAGAACAAACGGACTACATTCATAGATACACGATTCCGGTTTCTACAGGTTCAGTCTCAGTCCTATTTCCCATTAAAGACTCACGGTATTACTAATATATTTTCTTCCTTCGTCTTGTCTGAATAAGATAACATCCTAAAGGGAGTAGGCGTCAGGCAGGCTGTAGTAAGGCCCTTAGCAGCGTTAGACATTGCGTTGATACAAAATAAAATTCAGAACAGAGCATAATTACGATAATATATTTTCAGTACTCCAAATTTTTGTTTTGCAACGTATATGATTCATGTGAATCTTTTATGATTACTTTGTGGTGATAACGTTACTAAAATGAAAAAAAAAACATAAAGTATCAAAACTTAGTCAGTGGCTTATAAACTTATGAAAATTGCCTACTCGCTGTTTGTCGTAAAGGAGGGCAGGGCGTTTTCAATGACCATGTGCTAAGGTACACCTGGCTAGTCACTAGTCAGCTGACTTGTTATCATTTTATGTCTCCATGGACAACACTTTATTATCTTGCGCAAGTTAAATAGTGTTAATCATAGCTTAAGTCAACTATAATCGTGTATTTTTGGACATAAATAAATGCATAACGATTAAATTGCACACAATATGATTGTTTTCTGACTATTAAGAGTGATTAACCTTAAGTGTAGGTAAATGAATTAATTCTCCAAGCTATGTACGGAGTTTATATATGTATGTTGATATCATAAATCAGTTTTTTTGGTTTGATTGTTTGTTTATTTGAACGCTTTAATATTCGTAACTATCAGCCTTATTTGCGTAGTTATTTTTGTATGGAATAGAATATTTATTGTGGAAGATTGTAAAATTAGGTCACGTCTCTTAAAAGTGCAGCAGTGTTTATCGATGCGGATGAAATTGCAAGGAATAGTATTAGTGTTAAAAATGTAAGTACGACAAATATTTTATCGGGTTTCCTAGCAAAGAAACTTAAAAGAAAGGAGGTTCTCACTTTGTCGGAATTACGACATCTATTACTCAAAGACGGCTGGACCAACTAAAACATATTTTCTTTCTTCCTATCAGACCTATTATTATCAGATCAGGATATCTTAGGATATATCGATTACTCCAGGATGGAGTAATCAATATAATTCTTCAAATGTTACAGGAGTATCTGCAGTAATTGGGATATTTTTTAAAGAGCATTTGCTCTCAGAAAACAAAATTTGGTGAAGTGAAACTATTCGATAACTTTCATCATCATCATCATCATCAACAGCCTGTAATAGTCCACTGCTGGACATAGGCCTCTCCTTAGAAAGGAGGTTTTGGCCTACTATACCACGCTGGCCAGACGGCTTGGTATAGGGTTTGTGTCAAGTTTTCCTTCTTTTTGCAGTGCTGTTGTCCTGCGTTGTTTTGCGCCCTTAGTCGGCTCTTACGACACCCACGGGATGAATTGGGGTAGTGACATTTCGTATTCTTAATCCGTCACTACACGGACTCGATAACTTTATGAACTGTTAATTGAATTTAATGTTTATTTTTTAATCCAACCATTGAAGTTATTTATATGTTACTGAAGATTGATTTTTAAACCTAAAGAAATCATAATATATGGATAATTGAAAAATAAAAAGAATGTTTTGATAAAAAAAAATACTTTAAAGTTGGTTCCAGCTTCTTTTTTAATACCGATATTGCGCTTATATAATACGCTTGTTATGAAAATGATAAGTTTAAACATTGTGGCATCTAATTTATTTGTCATATCTTTTTAAGAGTTGATAAAGTATTTACAATTTATCCCGCTTTTGGTTAATTCTCTTCGTTTTTTCGAGAGCGAGAGGGATGCTTGAATATATTTAAAAAACGTAATGGTTATACCCATTTGAACTATGGCTGACCACTATATTTACTAAGACCGCTAGCTAGTTTCGTGGTATGTATGAATAAATCAGGTATGTATATATAGTATAATAAGGCTAATTAGTTTTCTTGTTAATTTATTTGTTCAAACCTGCTTCTTTGTAACTATCCGCCATATTTAAATAATTCAGTGTTTTAGGTGAAGTATTCATTTAGGAGGCGAACATTAAGTTTAACCCCTATCTGAAGCTATGACCATTAATGCAGGTGAAACTACGAGCAACAGCTAGTTTAGTATAAAGTAGGATATTCCGGTAACGTATTTTTATAGCTACTCAAACGTTGAAGGAAGTAATAAAATTGCGCGGTGATTGTTACTTAAGTAACGTTTAGATCGGTTATGATAATTTATCGACCTTAAATAAATTCTCAAAACTTATTAGACAAAGGCATTTTTAAAACACTATTTATATTTTTAATTATTTTGGGAAGTATTTAGTTTAAAACCATTAGGCTGGTTTGTTTTATGTCCTGATGTTTCCGTTTATATTAAACACGAGTTATATTAAATAACTTTTTTATGTTTAATTTTAAAGATATACATTATATACACAAAATTTTAAAAGTTTATAATTACTGTATCAAAAAATGTAATTTATATGGGATCTTAGATTTTAGTTAGGAAAGAATTGTATATTAGTATAGAATGTAATATATACAAGTATGTATATATTATCATTGTTTTCCTGCGATTTTTACTATTTTATTTAGACTCGGTGCTAGCACTTTGATTATTAATTGGCCTTTCTTTTAATTCGGACGCCGCACATGTTTGGGAATGTAATCATACTTAGAATGGATAGAGGAATAAGGTGAAATAGTAAATAGTACTATCAGGTGATAAGTCTGCTCGTCTGCCCCCCCCCCCCTCCCCCTATGCCATAACAAAGGCAAAATATTAAGTAAAGCGAATGTATGGCGATGGAGCTAGGGCAAGTCTCAGATGAGAATTGAGACAGCGGGGATTGAACTGTATGAGACCATCCTGTGACTGTATACTCAAACCAAACTTTTTTTTTTGTGAAAAGTATTATGTAGTCGCGTGGTGACGGATTATGAATACAGAGTGTCACTACCGCTATTAATCCCGTAAGAGCCGACTACGGAAACAAACTCTGCCGGACAAGAGCACTGCAAAGAGGAGGACACCTTAAACTGGCATGCGTGGTATAGTAGGCCAAAACCTCCATTCTGAGGAGAGGCCTATGTCCAGCAGCAGACTATGAAAGGATGATGATTACGTTGTCTCGAATAATAATCAAACTTAAAACAATACAATCGACCTTAATACTTTTGGCTGTCAAGATGGCTGTCTAGGACATACATATAGTCAAAACATGCTATTGAAGATCAATCGAAGATATTTAGAGTTTGAGTTTGAAGAAACAAAATTCTATAATTGCAAATAAGTATTGCATTGGTTTATTTTATATTTTACTCAAAGTGATTTAGAATAGTAACTAATTCAAATTAGAGATTAGTAGCATAGAGTACATATTCTTTTTCCCTTTACCATTTTAGTGGTTAACTTTATAGATTAAAACGTGGCACAGAAGTGTCACAGCCTTGTCCCTGTTATGACTAATTAAATCAGTCAACACTTCACTGAGAACTATTACAGTGAATAATATGAATTACTTTAAACTAGTTTGTTTGTTTGTGTTACACACACAACACATTAATGTGTACACTACTGTTGTTAAAGGTTCCATTCCATACAAAACTGTACAAAAC